AATAACATTTAGAGTATTTAATATAGAACTGAGGTCAGATTGCTGAAATGTTTCTCAATGATTTTGCACAGAGCACAAAATATGATAATTAAATTCCGCTTAAGTACATTCGCCGTTCATTTCGTCTACGATAACTTCGTTACCTATATGTTTACAGTTGGGTACTCGTAAAACGATGTAATTTTAGTTAGCAAATTTGTATATTTATTATACATTTTCACAAATAAAAAAAATAAACGCAAACGTACTTTTAATACAACTAGATGTTAATATGACACAGTTTAGTGTGTTGTTTTATTAATTACTAGCTGCTGCCCGCGACTACGTCTGCGTAGAATAAGCTGAAGGCGGTAACATTAAGACAAAAAGACAGATATATATAAAATATATATATAAGCTATAGCCTACGTCTTATTCTGAGGTAGAAGCTATATCAGTGTAAAGTTTCATTAAAATACTACTGAATGGTAGTATCAGCGTGAAAGAGTAACAAACATCCATCCATACATACAAACTTTCACCTTTATAATATTAGTAAGGATTTTATAAATAGTATATATAGAATTTTATGAATAAAGACTTTAATTGAAAAATAGTTTTTTATGCCCTTTTAAAACACTAACTGAAACCACAATAAGGCAAGGGTAAAAATTTTGAGATTTGTAACAATTATTTTTTCAATTTACTGAAAATCGTATGCCTGTTAAGATTACTGTTATGGAGCTTTATCGTAAAAGTGCAAATTCGACTAGATATGGTTGACGAGGTAAATTTTTCGAAATATTTATATATATTATATTATTGTAGTTTCTGAATACCTCTATTGAAGGTCTGATGTTTTAAGTATATAATCGAAAGTATTTATCAAACCTAAATTGTTACAGAATTCTACGACATACCTGAATGATCTGATGTTATTTCACATTTAAATTGAGTTCAAGTTTAGGTTTATTAGATAATATATAATATAATTTTAGATAGGTTAATCAAAAAATCTTGTAAATATTATATAAACTGTATGATAAAAACAAGTTCTAGCGTCAATTTATTAATTTTTATGTTCAATTAGCGAAGAAATATTATACTGAAATGCAACAAAAAATACAATGAAAGTTCCGGCCGACACTATTAAAATTTTTCCTTTCCTCTAGTCGCAACACTCGAGCAGTCAAAGGCTCAAGTCTAGCGATTGGATGCGAGAAAATAGTATTGGTACTTAAGTACATCCATTGTGTACAGAACAGTTTAAAGAGCAACTCACTTTTTCAGCTACTCATGCATCTTTGCTCCGTTCATAAACTGAATAGATGTTGTATAATTACATTTATCTCACTGTGTTTTTATGAAGAAATAGAAAATGCTTTTATCAAAAGACGTTTCCATTAAAGCATTCGCAAGAAGAACAAGACGAAATAAAAAGTAATTGCTCAATGGCAGATGGGTACAATAATGGAGAAATTTTGAGATGCGATGTCGAATTCATGAACTCTAGGACACCATTACAATAAGCATCAACGGCAGTATTGTAGAATCGCGGCAGTAATGGGGGAAGCATTAAAAATCACGATCAACTGACAACGACATTTTGATCGATACCCGAACGGCGCCCTACAGGTGGCGTATATCCGTCGAGCGGTAAACAAATTCTGACGATTACTTCACGTTTACATGAACGCCCATAGAGCTTAAAAGTTCGTAGAGGCGCCGCTATTAAAATGATTTGTATTTATTTTTATTGCAAAGGTATGGCAGTTGAAGAAGACGTCACCTTGATATGTGCGACTGGTCACCCATATAGACATGGTCAACACCAGAAAGAGTTGCTGGTGCGTTGCCTACTTGTGTTGTTTAGTATTACTTCACTTAGCGACAGAATCCCTAAATACTGGAGGTAGAACTCAGACGGAATCCATAAATACTGGAGGTATTTATGGATTCCGTCTCTCCACACCCGACTTCGGCAAGTCCGTGGTATTTCCCCGCCCGAACTGGCCTGTTCATGTGGCTGTTGGCGATTATTTTATCTTCTAAACGCTTGTGTTAAGTAAATAGCGTAAAAAATAATGGAGTTCTACATTCTTTTAATGGAGTCCTACATCTTCACGCTTTTACGATGTCAGATCCTAAATATTTACACCAATCAGTTAATATTTACATAGACGGAAATCACAACGTATTACGTCTTTTCGACATTACTACTGTTCATTCGTACTCTTTACCGGAGAACACGTTGTTATTAGAGAATCCTGTAAGAGATCGAAGTCGACAAGGCACTTGCCGAAATTGGAACTCAGGGTGCGTTTTGGGGTGACTCTATATCTTATCTAGCCGCTTCAAGGAAACTACAACACAGAAAGTTTGCGTATGACCCTTGTATCTTGTATTAACTGATGTTTATGCTTTCAGTCCCGAGACTATTAAAGCTTCATCTGACGCAGAACCGGTGAGCTAGCCAGAACCCACGGGTTTGGACCCTCCGCTGTGGGTAGGGCCGCGCATGTGCTCATGCGTGCGTTTAGCTACGGCATGTCATCTAAAGGCCATCGAGGATACGGTGCGGACCGAGACCCCGATGGCCGTCGACTGTTTTATTAGCTAAGCAGTGTCTGGGGGCGGTGAGAACCGCCCTGGAACGCGGGTGTACCATGTGTACGCGTTGTGTTGATCGCGCCATGCTCGCAGGGGAGGGCGAACTATTGTATTTATAATTACACTAGCTGTGTTATCCGGCAGAACCCCCGACGTTGGGGCCGACGTACCTAAGTCTCCTTCCTCGACCGGGTCGATGAAGACGTTTCGCGGGCGACGCTTGTTGACGTTCGCGTTTGTATCGGATTGGTAATTTGCTGCGCTTTCCACCAGAGGGATTGGGATGATGTTCGGCTCTATCGAAGAACCGTTTGGACAGGTCTTTGAAAATTTCGCGTATCGTCGGGAGTCTGCAATCGCTGTGCAGGCCGACGTTGCGTTGATACCACTGCGCACCGGTTCGCGGCGGATGAACTTATTTTGCACTACTTGCAACTTGTGCAAGCGAGTAGGGTGCGTGTGGGCGAAAATCATGCGTAGGACATGATTGGTTAAAGTGCTTAGTCGGCCGGAGACGAACGCGGACGTTATTAATATGCGTTGTGAATGACATAAGCGAGTCGAAAGTGACTCCTAAATGTTTGACCTTTTTTCTCCCAGGGGAGCGGTTGGCCAGAAAGAGATATTTGCCCTTTTTTGTATCGGGGTGGGGGGGAGGGGGGGGGGGGGGGGGGGGGGGTTCCTTAAATACCCTGTCATCTTACAAGCCTTGCATTCTGCATTGGCGACGACCTTTATAAAGATGTGACGGGTAGGTACTTCGTGTGAAGTGAATCGCCACACTCTTTTCGGGATTTACTTCAATTCTGCCGAAGCGGTCGGCTTTGGAGACGAGTAGTGAGTCGATTAAGATTTTTATCTGTTAACGTATGAACCATAATGTGCGACGCTTGTATGCCCTTTTCGCACGAACGCCCCACAAACCTTCACAAGCTTTAAGTAATTAAAAATAAAGTCATCCCTCTAGTAATGGTGCTTGATGTGAGCAGCGTAACGTCTACCTTCACAGTGTTTACAAACTCCCGATGCTATGCTCACACTTTAAAGAGCTAACCAAAAGAGCTGTAAACCATTTCAAATCTCCGTTAATGTGTTTATTATTAATCAGATAATTCGTTTTTAATTTAGATTATTGTATTCTTGTATTGTAATAATTAAATTTATTTGTATTTTGTTAGTTTTAATTAGCGTTGATTTTTTTGATATTGTTAATTTAAATTTAATTTATTTTATTTACAAATCTTTAAAAAAGATTTTTGTATTTGAATTTTTGCTTGTTATTCTTTAATTTTTTCTTAATTTTACTGAAATTATTTGCGGTTAAATATTTTTGCATTTTAAATATTTTTATTGTTCTCGATTATCCGATTAATAAGGTACATACATCAGAATTTTTTCTGTAATCTTTTTGTCTGAACGTGGAATGCGTGTACTGCTGGTGACCTTTAAATAAATAAATAAATAAAACTTCTCGTGATAAAAGAAACGAATCATCAATCCGACTTAAATTACTGTTTACAAACGTCGTGCGCGCAACGTCCTCATCGACCTGTTTTAAGAAGGGTATTTATGGTACGTCAGATGCACCGGGGGTCCCGCTAGAAAATATTATACAACCCTCACAAAATCGCACACGCATGAGCAGAGAGCGGAGGGCTGATTATAGCTCGTGGGATGGTTTTATACCACTAATTCGACGTTCGGTACAGCTTTTATAGTCTACGGACTGTAAAAATCACCAGTTCAAGTGAAGTAAAGTAGATCTCTATTTAATTTTTTAAGAATTGGATGTAGACGTTACTGCGTCGTACCAAAAATACAACAAACTGTGGAAAGGACCTGGTCACTTGGTAGTTCATCATTCATATGACCATCACTGCCCAAGGAAATTCGCAACACCAGAGGGGTTACTAATGCGTTGCCTTTAAGGAGCGGATAAAACTGTTTTCTTGAAGAATCCTTTGTTGTATTTTTCACGGAATACTGCTATTGAAAATTGATTGGTAAAATTTGTCCTACTTTTTTTTTATGGAGAAGTTGCCAAACGAGCAAACGGTTCACCTGATGGTAAGTGAATACCGTCATCCATGGACATCTGCTACACCCGACGGTTACAGATGCATTGACAACCTGTTCGGAAAGTGGGCTCCGGCTACCTCATTCACCAGACGAAACTTTACGCTGGTCTTCTGTGAGGTTGTGGTACGTACCCGGACGGGCCTGCCCAGTCGTGCAACAGCCGAGGCTGCTGCGTGGCCCTACCACCGAAAACGTGGCATAAAGTATCTCGAACAGCACGTTGCTCTACAACAATTGGCATTTATATCGAACAAATATCGAAGCCGATATTGATATTTTTATAAATATCGATAATATCGATATATTTCTTCACTTTCGACATCCCTACGCTGATGATGGCCTTCAAGCTTCAACCATCCATCGAACCATCAAGCTATTGGTGTTCCCAGCATTGTAAGTGGAATAAAATCAGCGAGCGACTCTTACTTAAATTAAAAAGCTACAACTTTTCCCAGGGTCAAAGTAATTTTGTTATCCCAATGTATCATGTATGTAATGCATCGCGTTCTATCTTAAATTCTACAAATATCCCAAACATACGGAACGAACATAGAACGACAATTTCTTCTAGTTATTCCGTAATGCCTTACCGTTTACGGCAAGCTCAACTCTTTGTTATAAATTTTCCAGATTTCCAATAACTCAAAGCCGAGGAGTGACCAAATTGCTTCCACCGAGCGCACACACTCCCAGTGGGGAACTTCGGGTAGCTCCCGCCCTCCCTTCAACGGCATTTAATTTGTCGTCAAGACGCGGCTGAGTAAATACTGTGGACAATTCGACGACATTGCTCTAGGCTACAGTGACCACGGTTTTTCAATGTCTAATGGACGTTAAGAAATAAAATTGTACTACATTTTGGGGACATCGATGTATTTACTTAAGATGCATTTTAATTTATTATTATGCCATGCGGAAAGAGACTGATTTTTGATGTCACACTTAAAATGTAGCTAGATGCATACATACATCTTTCTTTTTCTTAAACATTGCCCTCACTTTAGGATAACATTGTTGCAAGGACGTTTTACAAACATAAATTTCACGTGGACAAACATCCAGATGCAAAACAACTATCTGTGGGTCACACACACACAAATAGTTGTCCCGTGTGGGAATCAAACCCACGCCCCCGACGCCGAGGCCAATACCTTGACGACTTCGCAGTCACCGTCACATTGCATGTAAGATATTGAATACACAGAGCATCCTATCATGTCCAGGCCGTATCACGCCATACAAATTGGTGACAAGAGATAGTTCATTGACCGCAATATTATTTATTACAAAGCCAGCAACATTATTCAGTCATATTAAAAATTAATTATAAAATTGATCGATAAAATTGTGTGTGATAACAAAATAATGTCAATATTAAAATAACAGGTGATTATAACAACACTTCACTATTTTTATTAAATAATAGAAATCAAAATAAAATTATATAAAAATTAAATTTATTTTATGTATGTCCTTGTATACATGCTTACTTTTCGGAAATCCATAACACTTTCTTCTCTGTAAGACGTAGCCTTAGTACTCTGTAAGACGGGTAATTAAAGTTCAAGAATCATCGCCCCTTACTCTACTCGCGTGTGAGTACTCTAGTCGCGGTTTTAATCACTTAGCGGCATATTTTTCTCTATTGTATTTGTATTCTCTACAAAAAATACAATACACATCAATCTCTTTTGTCTCTGGTTGTTGTATTTTTTCGTTTTGGACATCAAAAATTTTGTGTGTTTTCGCCGTTTTTTATAAATCCTTTACGCTAATCGCACTTTCTCAAATATAATACAAGATCGTTATTTATTGCATACTTTGAATCGTATGAAAAAACTTTTGAAAAATCACACAAAGTTACAAACTGTATATATTATCCGACAATTTTCACACCCTACGGTTTAAAAATATATTGAAACAAATAAAATGAAATATAGTAAAATAGCATTTACCTATTTAGTAGCCTATACAAGATCAAAGCGACGTGTAGGTACTTAATTCTCTCGTTAAAAAAGTTTATTTTTCCGTGAAGCCATAACTCTAATATTGAATTAGGTTTCAAAGAAATTGGGAAAGAAATTTGAAAAAAGTTACGAATTTTATACAGTACTATGCTCATACTTTTTGCGTTTGAACGGCTTTCGGCCAATTGTAACGATAACATTAATTGCTTGCTCTGGAGAAAATTTTACCGCTGTTTATTAAAATATGTACCAAATGTTAAATTTAATAAGAGACTATTAAAGAAAAATAGTTCTACGATATAGCTCAGTCAAATTTGTAAAACAGTACTACTTTAGTGTGAATGTAATAAATATTACGTCGAATAAACAATATTATAAATTTTGCAGCATTTATTATTGTCGAATAATTCATTATGTCCAACGGCCATTGACCTAAAACGATGGCATTTCATTTTGGCCGTTTTATAACTTCAATTAATAATTTCTAATCTTTTGATTCATGTCTGATTTATTAAATATCGGTAAAATTTTAACCATAGAATCTAATACTCTAATCTAATATCATCTTTAAGCGTTGAAATTTTTAACATTGTTTAGCTAACGGCTAAATAAATAGATGAAAATCTTAACTTACTTTAAAACTTGTTATATTATGAGATGTTTACTGGCATTGCAATTCACTCTTTACTATTTAAAAATACATTTTACCATAGCTAGTAGATACCATTTTGCTACACCTATTGAAACGATTTTGCTACGCTAGCATTTTAGGATTTACTCGAAATATAATTTCGAGTAAATCCTTAACACATAGCCGTCATAGCTCATTATCATTATAGGTGCCGGCACCAATGAAGTTGTTAATTTTAAGTGCTGACTTATCACGTGCTCAGTGGTGAAGGAAAACATTGTGAGGCAACCTGCATATCTTCGAAATAATAACAAAAAAAACTTTCGAAGATATTTGTGAAGTCCGCCAATCCGCAGTGGGGTAATAAGAGTATTACATAGGGATGTACAAATGCGGCATATGCCCAACACTGTGACATTTAGTGACACATAGTGACTGTCAGTAAATTACTTCTTTTACATTTACAAATGTGTAAAATATTTGTATGCCGCTAATACAAACTACTTAAACTAGCGAAGGTAAGGGAATAATCTCTCTAGCAATCATTTACCGACAAGCAGGAGAATCGGGAGAGGTTAATTTGTTTGTAATTGTAAACTTCCCAGTGAAATTCGACACAAACAGTACATAGAGCACAATATTTACAAACGCCATGACTTGTCTTTGATGTAGCTTACATAGATCCTTTAAGCAAATTTATTTGCAACGTGAACGGTTGGAAGCAATTAAATATACTTGTATAATGAACTTTATCACGAAGAGCAAGCGTAAAATGTCTTGTGTACTATTGTACGTTATGGAAAAAATTTAAGCGTTAAAACAGTTATAATGGGAAATCGTATTTATTCATTACGATCACTTTTATTTTATTAGTATTCTTATTCCCATTGAATACCGAATATTAATTACTTTTCAATTACTTGTGCTATTACAGTTTAACGCGAGATGGCGTACATTGCATGAAATCAACCGGCGTACGATTTTTATATTGTATATAATCAGAAACTTTTCATTTAGTTTTTTTAATTAATACGAACTGTATGGAAGCGGCAATTTGCAACATGGAAAGTCTGAAATGTTGAAATACGTAGTACATAGGAAACCAATCAAAACTTTTTGCAGGCGAGGGAACCGCACTGAAGGCAATAAAATTATACCTCGGGGCGATAAATACAGAATCGTTTGTAGAGTTTACCAGCGGCAACGCAGCGGATCGCGCAGCTTTGGCGAGGCTCGCGTAATATTCGACTGTAAATGTACCAGCAAGATGGTTGGAAACGCTTGCTTATCGATCCGTGTACCGTGCAGGCTGTTAGGACAGACCGTCAGGAGTAAGGCACGTGTCTCACACGCGCCGAACTGCCCCGGTATTGAGTTTGCCGCCTGTATGACGGGCGATAGAGATTAATAAGCGGGTTGTTTGTCTGTTTGCTGCTAAGCTCCCTTTATTTAAAAACTATAGAGTCAATAGAGACTTATCGTGCGAAATGAACGTTTAAATCGCAACTCGACTAGCGTACTCGGCGTCCCTTGTTTTGTGAATGGGATAAGTAGATAGATGGATATCTACAATCAAATTAATCGTCGACGAGATTTTTTTTCAATGTTCCACGCGCCCGGTTTCAATCGTCTTTAAGTGGATCTGATCGGGTACGATTCGACTACATTCGTAAAGGGATGGAGACAAATTATATGATCACTCCCTAAGATCACCAAATAAGTTTATCTTTTGTACCAATGGGCGGTATTTAAATCCAGTCAATGTGTAATCATGCATTAAGATATCATCATGACATAAAAAAGTAAAGTAAAGTAACAGCCTATACATGTCCCACTGCTGGGCAAAGGCCTCCTCTATACAGAGGGTATCGGGGTGTAGTCCACCACGCGGCCCCACTGCGGATTGGCGGACTTCACATATCTTCTAAATAAAGTTTTTTTTGTTATTATTTCGAAAATATGCAGGTTTCCTTACGATGTTTTCCTTCACCGCGGAGCACGTAATAAGTCAGCACTTAAAGTAAAAACTTCATTGGTGCCGGCACCGGGGATAGAACTCAGGTTGCTCTAGTATATTGAATTAAAGGCGAGCACCCGGACACTGAGCTATCACGGCTCACATAATATGACTATAATCCCATTTAATTTATAATGGTAATGTTTTCCATCCCTCTTCAGGTTTAAATACCTTTGCGTACTTACTGAGCAACTTATTCCCAAAAAATATGAATTTTTTTTCGGAGTCCTTGCATTATAGACAAACAAAAAAATCCGCGTTATTTAATATCATATAATAATAATAATTGTTACTATCCAGCACTTTTATATAACACAGCCATAGTACCCAACGGAAAATAAATTTAATATGGATACGGATTATATTTTCCACTTGCCAGGAGTGCATTTAAATATATTTGTAATACATTTACATTTGTTATAAACGAAAGTAAATAAATTTTGGAACGATATTCTCGGTTCCGGACATAAATATTCACTTTTCAAAATGTCTGGCCACTAACACCTTATGTTTGTGTAAAAACACAAACAATAATATTACATACTGACTGACAGTGCTTTTAAGAACCGAATATTTTTAACAAAATTGCAACGCTTGTAAAATAATGAAATAATCGGGCTCCGACCACGCTAAACTACTAAGAAAACTAAAAAAAAAAGACAATGATCTTAAAATTTACCGATTGTTCTTAACTGAATTAGAAACAAGGAGAACAAAGATGGCTGGGTATGTATTTTAATGATTTTGTTTCACCGTACTCATAAGAAATGTCGAGAGATGTCCTTCCATGCGTCTTTTACGGTTTAAAACCCTCGCAGTCGCAAAATTGTTTAATTAATTGTCCGAATTCTTGGGGAATTTATCAAAGAGGTCTAAAAAATATCCCGATCGGCTGAGCGGGAAAGGTGCAGTGAGCCTGCCTCTTGCACTAGAAGTGAAAATATTATGTGATGAACATAAGTAGGTAGTGTTTTTCCAGAGTTTAGGTGTATTTAGAATATGCATTTATTTAGGTAAAAATTTCCTTAAGTTTCCGGGTGTTTTCGACCAAACAAAAAGTTTATTCGGATAAGAAAAATCACTAATGAAATAATCAACAATCAGAATTTGGCGGTCGCTTATAGTTTTCGAGAAAAAAAATATATTTAAAACTTGTTATTTTCACTAAATTAATCCGCCATTTTGTGTTTTACAACATGTATAAATTTACGAATTCACACACTTTTCCAAATTATAACCTTCGCATTATTAAAAAAGTCTTTAAAAATACTAAAAGTACTGTTACACTAAACTTTTCTGGGTGGTCATAAAAAAAAAAACCTAACATCGAAGGCTAAGGCGCCTTAACCTTCTAACCTAACCTATCCGAGTCGGATCGCTCTGTGTCGGATCTGTCACTCTTAAAATTAAAAGAAAATTAATCTCGAAAAACACCCGGAAACTTAAAGAAACTAATACCTTTATTTACAAAGGAAAAGTATGTTATACTATGTTTATCAGTTATCTAGTACCCATAACACAATTGCTTAGTTTGGAACTAGAGACCTTTTTTTAAAAATGTGTCCTGCACTAATGAAGCAAAAACTTTGTAGCCCTTTTTGAAAATTGCGCGGACGGAGGTGAAAGAAATTTCCCACATTTATAGTTTATATAGATAAGTGCAGAAAGAATAATATTAATATGTTTTTTTTTAATTATGCATATAAAAATTAAATCCATAAAAAAGCATGACATACGCTACCATGTATAATTAATTATGGTCGAATTTCGCCACTGGGCGACCACAGTATTTATATTACACGAACATTCACGGACCAACGTGAAGTGATTGCAGCGTGTGGTAGATAATTTCATGATGAACGTGTATTCCTGTGTATTCCTCTAATTGCATGAACTTCCTAACGATCCTGCATGTGTTTAAAACGGCAGCTTTAAGCAGACTTATAGGGATTATTCTAAATCATTTAATTTCAGGCTGAAGAACGCTGAAGATGGTTGGGAATAACACCGGCTGTTGAGAGAGCTATATAAATTACTAACACTTTCTTGTCTCCAGATTCTAGTAACCTCTTAAGGTCTGCGTATTTGCTTGCTTAGTGTTGCAGCTATTGTTTTTATCGGGTGTACGGGTGTTAGGTACTGCAATTACTGTAAGATAGTTGATTTATCCATAATACTTTCGTGAAAATTCTATCTACAATGTACCCTATAGCGCTGGTTGATGTGGACTACGAAGTAATTTGTTAAAATAATTCAGCTGCTGTCCATGTCCGGGTAATGTTGCTGCTCCGGGAAAGAGCTTGCCCCTAATCTGCCTGGTTCCACGCGATGGGAAGTCTAAACGCGCCGACGTGGACAAGCCCCAACCGTCTGCTACCTCGCCAGCCACCAGCCCCACGCAAGACTTCCCACTGCTCGACGAGGAATACATCAAGAAGCACTTCAAACTGCCACCGCGGCCGTTGTACCTCGACCCGTTCAGGTATCTTAACGCGTATTGAATAAATTCACCGTCACAATAAATAAACGAATGTTTTAACAAGAGTTTTTGCCAAGCCTGTGGAAAGGACACTAGAAAGGTATATACTAGCTATATATACTAGCTATATATACTAGCTATATATACTAGCTGCTGCCCACGACTACGTCTGCGTAGAGGGGTGAAAATGTAGGGTTGTATGTATTTTTGTATGCTGTATTATAAAAAAATGAAAACAAAAAATTTTGTCCAAAAATTAAAAATTGTTAAGGGTGAACAACCCTTATCACTTAGGGGTATGAAAAATAGATAGTAGCCGATTCTCAGACCTATGTGTATATAGACTCTTACAGCCGGGATTATTGTCTGATAGAAAAGCTTCTATATCCTAGATCTCCGGGATTTTAATTAAAATTTACAATAATATAGCTTATACATCAGAATAACACAGGCTATAATTTATATAATTTTTTTATGTACCTGTTCTTCTGTCCGAATGTTATGCCTTCAGCCTATTCTACGCAGACGTAGTCGCGGGCAGCAGCTAGTTTCACATAAAAAAAATGTTAATATATCAAGCATATTTAAGTAAAACTATGGCAGTATAAAAAACGTTATATCTTTGTCAATGTAATAGAAACAATAACATTATTGAAAGATAGTAGACTTCAAACCGTGACATTCGACAATGCTTAAATTTTGGGTGAACATTTTCTTCTTTGTAACAATACATATTTCTGAAAGATTTGTTGAATATTTAAATATTGGTATTTGTTATTGATATGTCTATATTTTAAATTTAAATTATCAATTAAGTTAAGTTAGTCATGACATACTTTATTGAATACTTCAGCAACTTCATTGCATAAGTTTCCTTTGTTTTTCTTATGGCTTGGAATGATTCGATTTAACTTTGTCAAGATTTCAAAAGTTAATGTATTGTTTAACTTATACCATATATGTGTGGGCTGCAATATTTAATTTCATCCACTTTCGGTCGACATTGAATTTGGCATGTCTTATATTTTTTGTTTCGTATTCTATTTAATATCGTGGACAACTTTTTCTACTTTGATAATTTTTTTTCAGACATCGGTTTAACGTAGAAATAAATTTGTCGGAAAACACGGTGAAAATTTATCACACACATGGTTAATCTGTTTTTGGGGATTCAATCGAAGCATTCATATTTAAAATGAGAGTCGGCTTAACCGGCCTTTTTGATTGAAAATTTATTTCAGAAGCATATTTAAACAGTAACGCCGAAACAGTTAAGCTTTTAACTATTATATATTATTATTAGTATTATACATATTAAAGTTCGTTTATCGACACAGTCGTATGTTCATGGAAACATAAAAAAATGCATAACGAATCACACGAGTGGGCTTACAGCGTTCTAAAGAAGTTCTAAAGAGCATTATTATCTGAGCGGGAGACAAGTGGATACGACCTTGACGCTACAAGTTTGCAAATAATGTGTCATTATGTTGACCTCTTTAATTTAATTTTGCGTGAGACAGTTGACTTTATTAAGAGCTACCTTGCGACCGCAATTAGCCAAGCCAAAGAATTATGTTGATGTTAAGTTGCAACATTGTGTTGCGATTTCTCAATTTTCCAGCGTGACCGAATGTCGAGTTATGGGATTACAAAATGCATTGTTGTTGTCTTAATGTTTCTGTGATGCGTGATTTGTCATAGCACATTATATGCCTAATGGCCAGTTTCAATATTCAATCTACTGATAGATTTGGTTACTGCAAATAGAATTTTGACGTAAGTATTTCGGAGCCAATGTCATATACATATTTCCAGTAACCAAATCGATCTGTAGATAGAGTATTGAAACCGGCCGTAAACGAACAAATACCACAGGCGACCGCTGATCACGTTTCCCATGACACAAGAGATCGTCAACCACTTCAACTTGGCACGCAAGACGAAGATCAACCAACAGATACTCGACGGATACTTGGACCCGAGCGAGGCCATATCGGCGCCCAGCGTGTTTGTGCGTATCTCAATTTATGATAAATTCTCGTTTACGAGACTCCCCCTAACCCATATAACAACTTTACGAACACACAAATGTACTCTATTTGCTCAACCTTTTATCTGTTTGTCGTACAACGTGATACACAGTATTCTCTTTAACGACTGTAATAAATTAACTTGTGCCGATCCCCGAGCGGGCAGACTCGTCATGGGGCCACCATGGGAACAAGTGGAAGTATAATATTTTCACGTCTTCCGGAGAGTGAGGTAACTGGGGCCGATTGCTCTAGATGTGCTCCAGTGGAAATGCATCTACAAACTCGTTTGTCACCTTGCATGAAAAAGTAGACGGACGTATAAAATAAAAATAAATATTGACAATTTGCAGCCGTACGCACAAACGAAAACGGAAAAGGATAAAGCGAAAGATGAGAACGACGAGATTATATACATTCTGCAGCTTCCCGACTGGGAGTTCAAATGCCCGGTCCATCACCACACTGTCAAGACACCCAGGTATATGGGATGCTGTTTAAAACATTATTACGAGCTGGGGTTTCGGGGTAGGAGTGAAACGCCGGTTATTTAAATGTTTACTTTATTGTCGCCAATACGCCACGTACGCGGCCACAGGTGCGACGATCCACAATTTACCGCACCAATCCACCGCGTACGACTCTACACTACTAGTTAATTCGCCTCACTGTCCACTACTATACTGTACACTCACTATTTATTAACTTTTCCACTTCCCTTTTCCTGTTCCTTCTTGTTCGAGTTCTTCCACTGGACTGCCGTCTAGCGCGCTCCGAGCCCCTTTTATTCGTTTCGTTTTTTCGTTGTTTCGTAATTTCGTTTTGTAATGAAATTCTGGAATTCGAAACCTTCTTTCAATGTACACTAATAATTTAAAATAACATTATATACGTCATTCCAAACTGCGTGCCATCCACGGATCGGCCATCTAGGTCTCATTTCTACGATTTGATATTTTAAATAATAATTTTGTAACAGTGACATCTAGGGAAATTGTAGTTGTAATAGTGCGGCGTTTTGTAACCATGCCCTTATTTTAGATTCATTTGGCACTCCTGTAAAAAGTCTGACAAGAAGGAAACGGGCCGAGAATTAAAGCGTGGCGGAGGCCCCCTCAATAAGCCAAAACCGTGGCTACTCAGCAGGCATACCGATTTCGATTTATTGTCACAATGGTAAGGTAACATTGAAATTGTTCCATATGAAAAAGTTTGTACAATAAATTTACTACAGCATTAAAAACTGGTTTCAATTATATTTTTAGATTTTTTATATTTTCAAGTGATGCATATGAAATCCTAGCCATACTTTTAAGTGCTTAAACATGCGACGTCTATAACAGCCGCGCGTGATACGATGCCAATTGATGTTTCTAGCTTACCACACTCGCCAGACGAAACGTAAAAGTTCATATAATACTTCCACATCATGCCGGTCTTCTTCACTGGACGAGTCGACCACTTTTTCAACAGCAGACGCTGCTTTGTTAAACAGTATTGATTTAGTTACGTCAGATTTGGATTTTGTTCAATGTGCAAGGCAAATCGGAATAAAATCTTAATTTTTTTAATATTTTAAATGTTTGTTTAGCACTATTAAATAAAATTATTTTCTTCGCACGGCTAAGTCTCGTGCAAAAATGTCAAATCTGTCCAATTTGGATGAGGTTGATTTTTAGGAAAACATTCAAGTAACCAAATTTAACTTTCAAGTATCACCATTATGACAAATATTGAAGTATAAAAATTAGTATTCAAGTATGACATTTAGCCATTAATCATCGGACTGACTCATTCTAAAGGTTATTCCAATTCAAAGATCAATTATTTTTAAAAAGTGTACAACTACGGTCTACAGCGACAAAGGTACAATGAAGAACTGCTTAAGGATCTGTCTCTACCCTCATTTCAAGTAGATGCGGTCAGCGCGACATGTCAATCATCCTGTTAACGGTAGGTATTGGCTAATGTCTAAAATCATAGGGACTAATCGAAGATCCATCTCTGTCTGATTTCAAAATGTGATATTTCTCTTAGCATCATATAGTTATTTAATTCAACACTGTTATTATTTAACCTGGAATTATTAAGCGTTTGTTTCGTTATGTAATTTGCAACGGCATGTAACGGTTATGTAATCTCCATTGTAAAGTACTGAAATTATGACTTTCCTTCGGCGGAAAGAGCTGATAGGAATGGGTTTAACTAGAGGAATTTATTGAATTAACTTTAATATTATAATAGTAAGTCCCTTAACACAAAATAAATGCGATAAAAACGCATGTTAAATTTATAATTTCTTTTATTTATTAACGTTGAAATTTTTGTCGGCGACAATCACCCGTTTAGCTCAGTGGTTAAAGCGTCTGAATCGCAGCAGTGAAAAACTTTGACCATTTTTTCTAGACATTTATATATTATTGTAGTATATTAGTTCCTTCAAACTTATCTAAGGTGGCAGTGGTTTGTGACCAATGATGTTTTAATAAAGATGACGTATGTCCATACTGTACCTACGGTTTTTTAAAATATTTCCGCTTTTTTATGTGAAACTAGCTGATCCGGCAAACGTTGGTTTGCCATATAAATGATTTTAGGATAGAAAAAAAAATAAAAAAAAAAATGTTATAAATCTATTCTCATATTTACAATGTGACAATCTTATATAATTATTAGATATACATGTATAAGTAAATGTGACAGATGGTATGGAAATAGAACGTATGATACGAAAAGAGATAGCAGACTAATCAATTACAACATTGGCTGTAATTTGAGTGCCTTAGTTGCGGCGCACTATATCATATCTACATCGTAATTATCCTTCAGGACCACAATGTTGAATTTGCAAAATGTTGAATTCCTAAAATGTTGAGTTCGCTAAAAGTTGAACTTGCAATATGTTGAATCCCAAAACGTTGAATGCAAAAAAGTTGTATCCCAACAATGCGAACAACTATATGTAATATTGTTTGTGATGTGAAGATCGGAATTCTTCGTTTGTTTATCACTATAGCAATAGCGGGTGCTATGTATGAGATGACTAGAGGGATCGGGGTTTTGACACTATTGTGTAAGTATTAGACTTTAACACAATGCATGTGGGATTTTTTATTTTTTATTTATTTTCAGTCTAAGAGACCAGATTTTATTGCTTATGGTGATCTGATGAACTCACCAGATTAAAGTGCTCCATCATTATCATTGTAGCCTGTTGCGTCCACTGCTGAACATAGGCCTCCCCCATAGACTGCCAGAAAGCACAATCCTGAGCCACCTGCATCCATCGACTTCCCGTATACTTACACACGTTTTCACTCCGTCTAGTGGGCGGTCGTCCTCTCCCTACACAGTGCTTCACGCACTAGTAAATAAATGTTTGTAGTGCCAATGATCTAAAGCTAAACAAACCTGGACATTTATATTGGAAATCGAATTATATGCTCACTACGTTAGCTACGACGGTGGCTACGGAGTTTATTTACATGGCGCTACGGAAAGTCTACGGAAATTGCTGTTTCTCTAAACGGAACTGTAAAGCGAGGGTACGCCTCCAGGAAACCTTTCGAATTGTACATTTTAAAGCTATTTAACAAGACTTCAGGATTAAGGCCGAATGTTAAATTATACTATTTAAATAGTGATATTGTAGAAAGATTATTATTGAAAATGAAACAATGATATTTCTAAAGAATAGATATGTAGAGTTAAATAGGAGGGTGTATTAACAACTCTTAAGTTATATTAATAACCGACATAGCTCAGAGGATTAGCAAGCTGAAGTGGCGATGGGCCGGCCATATAGCTCGTAGAACCGATAACCGTTGGGGAAGAAAGGTTCTCGAGTGGCAGCCTCGTACTGGCCATCGCAGTGTGGGACGACCCCCCACTAGATGGAGTGACGACCTGTGCAAATGTACGGGAAGTTGATGGATGCAGGTGGCTCAGGATCGTACTTCATGCAGTCTATGGGGGAGGCCTATGTTCAGCAGTGGACTCAAACAGGCTGAAATGATGATGATGATGAAGTTATATTTGTGTCTAACAATATTACTCACACATCACTCGGTACACTAAGAAACGTTATAAATAAATTATACGAAAATTACGCTACGATGTCGACGGTACTAAAGTATAATTTTTTTTCTTGTCAAATGTTATGCTGTGCCTCAACAACAACTACTGAGGGATTGAACATGCGTCGCCAACTTTTAAGAAAGTGGTTAACCTTTTAGGAAAGTGGCTACCTCCCTCACCAGACGTAACGCTTACGCAGTCACTTCACGCCGATCTTCCGTAAGGCTGTGGTACTTCCCGGATGAACCTGCCCTTGCTTGCCCCCGGACGCTTTAACCATTGAGCTAAACAGCTGGGGCATTGCACGCGAAGCGGACAGGTAAAAAAAGTTGATGTTTCCGATTTTAGTAATATTTGATTATGTTATACCTATATGTGTCCTCATTCCAGATAGAAAATATTTTTAGAGTATAAAATGTAGTTTACGATTTAGAGAGCTTTAAAAATGTGACTAACCGGCAGGTATGCGCCACTTCAAATCCCATTATCCTGTATTGAAAAGATAAATAGAAATAAATAAATAAAGAGAAATGGAAATAAACTACGTTTTATACTGTAAAAATATTTTGTATCTGGACTGAGGACACATATAGGTATAACATAATCAAATATTACTAAAATCGGAAACATCAAGTTTTTTTTACCTGTCCGCTTCGCGTGGAATGCCCCAGCTCTCTGATAGCCAATGCGAAAAGACGATGTAGATAAAAGACGTTGAGATTTTCTTTGGTGTGGCAATCACCCGTTTACCTTAGTGGTTAACGCGTCTGGGTGCGAATCCCGAAGACGTGGGTTCGGTTCCCACAGCGGCGAAGAATATTCGTACTTTTTTCTACAATGCTTCATCCAGAACACGTAGATTACATGTAATGTAATTAGATATTTCCAAAACCTGTGCAAATGTGCAGGTGGTCGATGGACATAGGCGGCTCAGAATCGTACTTCGGACGATTAGTTATGTTTGAACAAGCTTGTACAGCATATAGCACACAAAAATATCAAAAAGTTGCCGCTCATCCGGATTAACTATGACTTTTTTTAGAATTTACATCTCAGCCTTTTCCGTTACCGTGCTCTAGTCCGAAACGTAGGGTTTAATACGAAAATTAAACGTGAAATGATACATACAATGGTTCTAATCAACAATATTTCTTCATACTTTTATAACGATAAATCTTTATAAATTTTCTACTTAAAAGAGATTCTATACTAATTATTATTTCATCACCATCATCATCAACCGCAAGACGTCCATTGTTGAACATCGGCCTCCCCCTTAGAACGCGACAACGAACGACACTTTGCCATTTGCATCCACCGGTTGCCCGCCACTCTTGCGATGTCGTCGGCCCACCTAGAGGGAGGCCTTCCAACCCTACGTCTTCCGGTTCGGGGTAGCCACTCGAGAACTTTTATTTCCCATCGGTCGTCAGTTCTTCGAGCGACGCCCATTGCCACTTCAGCTTCCAAATCCGGAGAGCTATGTCGGTGACTCTGGTTATTCGACATTGTTCTTCGTTCTTCGTTCTTTGACATTGATTTCGGACCTGTCTCTAGCAAAGAGAATGTGATCACTACGTTGCCTAGATTTTCAGAAATTGTCATAGCTGCTATAGACTGTATCATTTATGGTAGCAGCTATCTTTTTATGAAAACGTACTGGCTAGTACTTTAATAATATATCCTGGATCATCACTCACCGCGGTGAAAACACTGTGTAAAAGCGATGACATTATTATTATTAAACAAACAGTTAACAAACAGTTAAACATCATTTTGTAAATGAACGGAAAACCTAAAACAAGGCCAGATGAAGATTATGGTTACAATTTAAGTTATTTTCTTTTCATTAATTATATTTTGGACCCAAGCTGTCATAAATACAACCCATGTGTTATAAAATTGTATGCTTTTTTTACGGATATTAATACAATGATTTATTAGAAATGTATAACACTGGCCATGTACGAACTGTTGACCAAACGTAGTGATTACATTCTCTTTGCTGTTGACAATTATAAATTTGGCATATATCAATGTAACACATGGTTGGGTAAAATTTATCAGTAAATTTAAAAAAATATATATTTAATATTTATAAAAGCATTCACCTACAAAATGACCGATGGACAATATTTAAAGAATCTCGCAGAAATGTAAGTATATATTTGGACATTTAATGAGAACAAATCTACTATTATCATGACTTGCCCACAATCTCAAGGGACTACCCCAAACGAAGGACCATTTAGCAATCGATTTAGGGTAAATATTCCGAACAGTACGTCTCGTTTTTCAAGCTAGAAAAAAATTTTAATCGATAGAGAAATGTTAATACTTAAATATTACATACGTGAAAACCAAGGCAAATACTTACTTTAAATAAAAAAAAATATTTAAAACGTTATTTTCACTAAATAAATCCGCCATTTTGTGTTTGACAACATGTATAAATTTAAGAATTCACTCACTTCCAAATTATAACCTTCGCATTATTAAAAAAGAGTCTTTAAAAATACTAAAAGTACTGTTACACTAAAGTTTTCTGGGTGGTCATAAAAACCTAACATCGAAGGCTAAGGCGGGAGCAAAGCTCCCGCCTTAACCTTCTAACCTATCCGAGTCGGATCGCTCTGTGTCGGATCTGTGACTCATTTTGAACCTAATATTCGAGACATTAAGTGTACCCTAAGACACTAATTTTAAATATTAGAAATTGTTAATAATACATGTTCATGAAGTAGAAACATGAAACAGAAGTACATTTCTTACAACGTAAAAAGTGAAAACGTAAGTTTTTAACTTAAAATAATAGTCTATAATGAATAATGGACGCACAGTAATGACGGATTTCAGTTGTATGAAATTTAAAAACTTTGTTAATTTTTTCCTCATAATCTAGTGGTTTTCATTGATTATAACTTATATAATATTTAATTATTAACATTTCTCCATTGATTAAAATTTTTTTCTAGCTTGAAAAACGAGACGTACTATTCGGAATATTAGCCCGATTTAGTTTTAACAACAGTAGGCGTGCTATGTTGTGCCATATAATTTAGTTACATCTTATCTACGAAGAAATATAGGTAATTGTTTACATTAACGGCACCGCCATTTTTATCTTACAAATATTTTTAATCGATAGAGAAACAACCAAATTAACAACTCCAAAGTAAAAATAATAGGATATATTTGATTTTGAGAATTTTTTAATCTTGCTGTTGTGTCGACGCGCTTAATACATAAAAATAAACATCCGAAGAACCTAACATTTGCAAATAAATAAATGTTGAACCCAATTTATCTAAATATATAAATAATAACGCCCATAGACCCTGTATCGCTATCCCAACAAAGTAAACGTTAGTTCCTCTTAAAATAATTGACAAAACTTAATTTTGTACGCAACATAATAGTGCATTGCCTTAGTACTTTAAGTCTCGTACTTTAATACAAGATTAAATTGCTGTTCTTTATCGAAAACGGTCGAGCCCCTAATGTAAATAATTTCCGAAATTCGTAATGCCTTGAAATGTTTTCTTGTTAGATTTCCCCTATTTATTCTTAGCTTATGTGTCGTAATAATGATTAGTATTACGACACACAACACTGGGACTAGAGCCTTATTTCCACTTTGATCAGAGCGAGCGAGTACGAACGATTAGCGATTAGAGATTAGAACGATTAGTTCAAACGTGTGGTGCGAGTAGGTTCAATAATTCGATTGTTGGCCGTTAAAGAGCAAGAATAGATGAACCTCAAAAAGCGTGCCGGCAATTGCAAGAAATATTATCGAAATAAATAGTAAACGCGGTAGTGTCGCAAACTTAGGACTATCCCGACTTACAAGACCAAGCAGACTATGGGAACAAATTGGTGATACAATGATCCATGTTGCCTATGTTTTTTCCAAATACAATAAGAGAACGTCAAAGGTCTGTCACCTCCAAGGCACAATGATATTCATTCAATATACATCTTAAATTAAATTGTTAATTTCTCAGACACGGTACGGATTCTTTTTAGGTAACTTAATGAAAAATTTAAATATACTTACTCTATTAATCTTACTCACTTTAATTTCTTTGTGGAGTAACCACAATTTTCAAGTAATAAAAAATTAAAAACTAATGGTCGTTGTATGCACATTCTTGAAACCCCTCTGAGACTAAGTTAAGCTAATCCCGTGCTAACTATCAAAAATGTCCAAACGTGTTTAGTAGCACGCACTGCGAGTGAAGAGCAAGGATGGTGAGCGAGACGCAAAAAATAATACTCGCATAAAAAGAACACACGCACTGATTATTTGCGGCCCACACATGTTTGCCTAATCAATAATGACCTGCGTTAATCAGCTCCACTCGCTCTGATCACAATTGAAATTAGCCTTAACTCTAGTGAGTTTTATATCGTGTTGTGCTATCATAGCTTAATAAAGTCTCATCATGTACAGAATTCATTTCACAGAAAAGAGGATAGTTCTACGTTGCTATGAAGTAGGAGGTACTAGTAAATTTGGTGCGAAGCTATATACGGGCATATATTATTATTCCAATTTTATAACAATGACACGAATTACATGAAGCCAATTACGTGTGTGTTTAGTTATGCTATACTTGAACCTATGAAGTCGTTTTAAGTTATTTACCAGGGTGTTGGTCCTAAATCATCCGTGTACTACATATAAATAAACTAGATGTTTATAACTGCACAAAATTAAAAAACACGTATACTAAATATTATTTTTAAAATTTGTGTTTTTTTGTCTTAAATGTATTGTACATTTTGCAGAACTTTATCTCGTCTAGCGACTTATTCTACTTTTTTTTTACTACTAGTGTCATCTAGTGGCAGGGTAAATAAAGTTATGGTTAAACCCCAAAGAAGTACACCTACTTAGTCGCTCCAGTTTATGTAACTACCTGTCATTTAATCAAATGGCCAATAGATGGCACTATCATGCATTCCTTATAAGAATTTTTCGTTTTTGTTTTATGAAAACATTTATATATAAATATTAAAAGTTAATTTCCATTTTTCACTCAACAACCATTTAAACTTTCCAATTGGTTTTTGAGGTTTAGAAATGTCCTAACTAGATCTTTTCCTCACGATGTTTTCCTTCGCCGATAAGCACGTGATAATACAATCACTTAAAATTGACAATTTCATTGGTACTGTACTTTCATTGTGCTGTTGTTCGAGTACCGGCACCCGGACAATGAGTTATCACGGTTACATCGTCCCCATAGATGATAATACTGAAACTGGTATATAATGGTGATCCTTTTGGCAGAAGTTAACCAAACACACACATATTTTCACGCAGACTTGTATCACTCATAAGATTCTTGCGGCCCCTTGGTCGTATTCTGTATTTCTACGTGTCACGTTAACGTCTCCAGACCACTGGCGAGGCCGGGTTTTGACGCGCTCACGATGTCGGCACCGACGCTCATGCAGATCAACCCCGAGGGCAAGTGGGAGGGCAGCACTCCGGCTGGCGACGACGTGGAGAACCAAAAGCTGAAGGCGGTGGTGCAGTACCTGATCGACAGCGAAGCCGTCTCGGCGGCGCAGAGCTACTGCTGCCAATGCGCCGCGGATAGCCAGGTGTTCGATATCGATTCTGTAATATCTCGCACTGGGTAGGTCCTGGGCAGGGCCACATTTAGGGGACCCACAATAAAGACTTCGGAAAAAAAATTGAAATTCAGACTAGTAAACAACTTTTCCTTTCATATTTTTTTCGCATTTTACCTTTAAAATTATTATATATATGTTAGATATCTAAAATTTTCATTTATATAATTCTTCTTTCCGATTATATTTATATGTTCGTTAAATTATAAAATAATCTGTATTTGGTTTCACAATAAATTATTTATTGGAAAACTCGAATGCAAAAAATTGTTCATTTTATTTGGAAAATAATTTGGGGCCAAATCGCCTTCAATCCTTTGGTGCCCCGAAGCCTCAAGACCTCTAAATCCGGCTCTGGTCCTGGGCCGTGCTTAGTGGCAGTCTGTGGGTGTCGTATTGTTTCTTTCTTCTGCCCTTACCACACTAGGAAATAACGCGTTGTCCCGACCACTGGCGTCCAAATCTTTCCCGGTTTCCCTCTAGCTGTACAGGGTGTAACAACCACTTTCACATTCATCACTCTTCTAGTCACATGACTTTCATCCCTTCTCATAATGTGCCCATAAAAGCTAAATTAGTTTTAACGTAGATTTTATATCTTGCTTCGTTAAATGCGGATAGGATGTTTAATTTTTTTGTTAGTGGATGTTACACGCCACACACATAACTTCGAAAAATATTTTCTAATAAGCATTTTTTTTCACTTAACCACCACTTGACAACTTTTCACATCCAAAATCAAATTTTTCGAAAACGCGGTGTAAGCGGTTAAACCTCTACGTGTAATTGTAATTAAATGAAAAGAAAGAGGACCCAAAAAAATGATGACTTCTCAACGTTGAATAAAAAGATACAGCACTTGTATATTTTATTTTAAAGAGCTAGTTCATGCTACAGCCGCATAGTAGACGGAATCTTAAACTTTATACAAGACAAGATCTTAAAAAAAAAAAAAAAACAGTACAAAACATACCTTATCCATTCCACTGACATTTTTTTCTGTTATTTTATTATATAATTCGAATTCGTAGCAAACTATGTACTCCTACTGAATCTAACTTCTTTTTCATTTAGTGGTTTTCAGAGATTTCAGAGTGCTTAAATTCTCAATGCATTCACATGATGGACAATTCAAGTTCGTTATTAACGGTGGGTCAATTTACCCAAAAAAGACTTACCTAACTGTTGTACATAAAAGAATTATGATATGCATGTATGCTACACTCATATTGTAAAAGTTTGTCTCCTATTCGAGTTCTCGACCACTGATTTTTTTAGGTAAAAGGTGGCGATAAATTCAACTACGTGCCCGTTATCATGATGCCCATTTGTCCAGCCGATGAATGTCCTTTTGACATGGAATGTGAAGTAAAAAAGATGAAGGAAGCTACGCCGAAGAAGGAAACGAAGAGGGCCGTACAGTTAGAAGATACTGCAAAAGAAAAGGCGAAGCAGAAAACCAAGAAGCATGGATTTGTATTGCAAAGATTAACAGATTTCGATCTGTTGTCGCAATGGTAGCACTTGAAAAGTAATTCAAAGTTGGTTACGAAACGTAGTTGGTGTTATGTAAAAATGATTTACGTACAAAATTATGTCGTTCGTGTATCTTTTGTCCGAAATGTTGTTTATAATGCATCATTAAACCAAGTTTAAATTGTTTTGAAATTCTTTATTTGTAAATATTTCTGTCTATGGGGGAGGCCTATGTTCAGCATTGGACTCAAACAGGCTGAAATGATGATGATGATGATTTCTGTAATCCTTACGTACGTAGCTCTGCAATTTTATTATCGTTTTCTTGTATTTTTGTATGTAAAAAGTTGTCTAGCGAGGAGGCCGTCCATTTGATTTTCAATGGACATCGCTACCCTGAGGAGCTTGTAGATGCGTTTACGACCTTTAAGAAAGTGGGCCCCGGTTACCTCACGACGAAATACGAAAATATAACTTCCAGTACACGCCGGCTTTCTGTGGCACTTTCCCGGACGCGCCTGCCCGTTCCTGCAACATCAACTGTTGCATGGTCCTACAGCAGTTTACATATCTTATTTTCTCATTCATAAACACGAGTGGACTGAATTTAGGAAAACAAAGTTTGATGAGTGTGTCTAGTACGCACACACTTGTCATTAATAATTTTCTTTGGTGTTCAATTCAAATTTGGCACGTGTAAAAATAAGTTAAAATAAAAAAAAGTTTTCAGTGCCTTCCGTTTCGAAGTGCCGTTATCTTTTCGGTAGTCCGTTAATTTTGTAAGTTTTTTTTATGTGAGAAGGTGGCAGGCTAGTAGACGGTTCATCTGATGTTAAATGATAAGCGCCTCCCATGGACATTTGCAACAGCCAGGGTAGGATTGCAGACGTGTTGAATTTTATTAAATTACTAGCTGTGCCCGCGACTTCGTCCGCGTGGAATTTAAAATAAAAAAAAAATTAAAATAAAAGTAGCCTAAGTTACTCCTTATGACATCAGCTATGAATAGGTGGCCAGCCTAGAATTTCGAATCGGTAACCCAAAATCCTGGAGTGGGCACCGCCCAGCCGGCCCCCCCGCTATATACCCCTATGCCCCAGACGCCGAAATCCATAGCTTAGCAAATCCAGTCATTAAATTATTATCACCTAATATTGAAAATACTTTCGTTATTTTTTTTTTACTTATTTCTAAGAAATGGCGGATTGTGCCCGTCCAGCAGTGAAAACCAAGAGGCACATAACACATTACGAGCCAAAAGTTACATGTCATGTTGCGTATCTACTTTGACGTGTTGCAATGATGACAAATTGACAATGATGATAAAAATAAAATATTTTATAAGTGGGTCCAATAATTATTATTAACACTAGGTGGCTGTGATTTCTGAAAAAAGGAGCCACGGACTTTAACTTGTCCGTGGGTCTATTCTTTAATTGCTCAAATTATTTATATATAAACTTTGTCGTAATTTTATGATATAATATTTATATAGATAATATTTTAATTTATTATAACAAAAATTTACAAATATCGTACATATGCTACAAAATTATGATAATCTAACCTAATTAAAACTATAACGGAGATGAAATTAATACAATATAACTACAATACAAATAAAGTATGCTTATTAAAAAACTAAACTACTTATTTAAACAAAAAAAAAAACTAAATTACAAAAATGTGGAGGTCAGTTGATAGAGCATAAATATAGGTTTTTTTGTTTATTGTATTTTATTTAATTAATTTGTTTTTTTATTAAAGGAAGTCTTGCCTAACAGAGTGCCTATATGTACTGAAGGCAATGCATTCAACCAGTAGCCCAACTCCTCCTCTACACTCGCCAGAAGACGAGCCCGCTCTGTAAAGCTTCCGCAGTTTTTAAGTACTTTTTCCTGTACTTGTACGCAGAGTGGCTCGTCCCAAAGCCTCTGCGAAGCTGGATTTATCGGGAAATCTTGGTCCAACGCAACTTTAGCACGCCATGCGTCCTTGGCCTCAGTCAAATACGAAACTCTTCACCAATTAATGGCCTAATAATATTACTAACTAGGTTTAATATTTATATATTTTAATAAAGTTATAGGTTTTATTTCATATTTTTTTTATTTTACAATGAAGTTTAATTTATTAAAGTTGTTACAAAATGTACCAAATGTAAAATGCACCTTTTTGATATTATATAAAATATTTGTTATTGTAATTTGGTGTAAATTACATATTTTATCTAAATGACATTCGTTTCAATATAGAACGTATGCTAAATTAAGAATGGCACGGTTTTGAAAAAAAAAAATTGCACAAATAAACAAAGAGAATGTAATCACTACGTCTAGGGGAGAGGTGGTATACTTGATCCCCGAGGATACATGATCCCCCATTTAAAACTAGCGCCAAAAAGTGTTTAAAGGTGTTCTGTTGGCTGCATTGGGACGCCGCCATGATGACCAATACGAAAAAAAAAACATTAAACCGAAACAACAGCTCGTTGCCAAAATAATTGGAAATTTATGTTTTTACCGGATCTTACTTGTTTTGTTTAGTGTACGACAATTCGAAAAACTTCAGGTACGTGTACTTTACAATTTTTTGTTTGTATTTATGAAATATTGTGTGTATTTAGCTGTGTAAATTCAATTATTTCCGAGTCAAATGTTTTCATCTTGTTGCTGTTTTTTTTTCCATTTTAAATAAAGTTACTGCTTCGGGATAGTTGATCCCTTTTGCTAGGGGGATGCTTGATCCCGGAATCAAGTATCCCAGACCCGGAGGCCTTGAAAAATGCGGTCCAAGCAGTTAAAAATGGAGCTGCTTACAAAACCGTCGCCAGAGAATTTAAAATTAATGTCATGACACTTAAAAGGCTATGCCGTCGAGACTCTTATGTTCAACCTGGTTTTACCAATAGACAAATTTTGTCCAAACGTCACGAGGATGAGCTAGGAGCGTATCTTGTTCATATGTCTAAAATGTATTATGGACTTACCGTTGTACAATTGCGTAAGGTAGCTTACCAATTCGCCAAAGCAAATAAGATGAAATATCCCTCTTCACAAGACACACTCAGACAATCACGAGAGTCATTGTTCTGTCGACGCCCTCAACTACGCAAAAGACAACGGAATCGTTCTTCTCACAATTCCACCACACACATCCCACAAGCTGCAGCCATTAGACAGGACTGTTTTTGGCCCCTTAAAAACCTTTTATTCTCAGGCAGCATCAAATTTTATGCTGAGACACCCCGGGAGAACAATCACAATCTACGACGTTTCGGAACTGTTAGGGGAAGCTTTCCCAAGGGCTATGGTGCCTACCAATATAATTAGTGGCTTCAGGCGACTGGAATATGGCCCATAAATGCCGACATTTTCACGGAGAGTGAGTTCATGACCAGTTTAGTTACGGACCGCCCTCCCCCTTCTCAACTTGAAGAACCAGCACAGAGAAGTGTGGCAGCGTTGGACTGTGCTCCCCCTTCCCCGCTTGAGGATCCCATACAGAGCAGTGTGATAGCGTCGGACTGCCCTCTCCCTTCTCCACTTGAGGAGCCCGTACAAAGCAGCAGTGTGAGTGAACGCGCTTCCCCATCCTTACTTGGAGGATCAGTGCCGATACACTTTTCACCACAGGATATCATGCCCTACCCCAAGGCAGGTCCACGCTCGCAGTCGTCGCGCGGGAGAAAGCGAGGACGTACTCGCATCCTAACCGATACTCCGGAAAAAGCAGCCATCGAAGAACAATCAAATAAAAAGTTGGCGAAGATAGCGGAGATAGAAATGAAAAGGAAGATTAAAGAAAATAGGCCTACCAAGAAAACAGTGAGACAAATCTTTTCACTAAAAAAAATTGACGATGACACCTCATCTGATTCTGATGAATGTCCTCCACTTCCATCATCGTCAGGGGGGGAAGAAGAGTTATGCAGCGATGGCGAGGGTCATAGAGCTTTTGAGCCCATCAGAAACGAAGTAGGGGAATTTGTAGTTGCAATTTACAATGGTTTGTCATACCCAGGAAAAATTACAAAAATACATGAAAACGGGGCTACAATAAAAGCAATGGAAAAAAAGTGGGAGGCTTTGGAAGTGGCCAGCAGCAAGGGAAGACGAAATATTTTATGTGTGGGGTGACATTTTGGGACACTTGCCGGAGCCGACGAAATTTTCAAAAACACGTGACATTTATTCCGTGCCACTTCTCGAATAATTTTCCCATTTATTTTTTGTCTGTGTTTTCAATTTTTTTATGTTGTTTTCATTTTGTACCTAATCACCTTCGAATCGTTAATTACAACTTATTAATAGTAGACCCAAGTTTATATAATTTCCATATTTAGGTAGGCCTATGGCTGAAACTTTGACGGGTGGGATGATTGATCCTCCGGGATCATACAACCCACTCACCGGGATCAAGTATCCCCATAGGGAGGGTTACTTGATCCTTGTGTCGGACTTTAAAAAAACCCTTTTTGTCGTTTTATTTAATAAATAAGAAGGTCTGTATTGGTGCTAAATCAGTAGTATTGAACGGAAATACATGTGTAATTTAAAAGAAAGTCAGATTTATGAAAATGGTTCGAATTACTAAAAGAAAACCAAAACAGGGATCAAGTATACCACCTCTCCCCTATATAATTAATAAATACGTTTGCAAATAAAAATTGTATTGTCAAAATGTGAATGATATCATTAGGGCTGCATTAATATCTTTTCTAGTTTAGGAATGCCAAGGAGTAATACTATATTCACATATTATTACACTAAATCCAATTTTCTATTTATCACTTATAATTATATTATTTATTTATATATTATTATTATATTATTTGTTACTTTATATTTTTGCAGTTACATATTTAAACCATTACGTGTTAAGTTTCATATTTAGATTTTACTAAATGTTAATTTTCGAAATGAGCACTTCAGTGTTTTTACCGTTATGTGACTGTCTAACTTATAATTAACTAATTTTTGTTAATTTCTTTATCCAAATGTTAAAAAATGATATTATTTTGATATTTTTGCATTTATTTTTCAATTGTCCAAAATTAAAACCGAAATCAAACTTATCTTATCTGTTTCGTGGTTGGACATCTCTAACCTTATCATAGAGAAAAACACAAAATAAATCAAAACATGATATTTTATTACAATTAAGAAATAAAAGGAAAATCTTAAAATTGAGACAAATGTTATTTATTAGATAATATCATAACAAGCATGTTGACCGTAAAAAGGCTGCCGACGCTGACGGCTACAAAAATTCAGTCAAAATTGTTTTTTAATGCAAGAAATGGTCTTGTGGAAAGACAAAATAATGATTTTTGTAGTAATAGTGTTTTTATGTTGTGTAGATCATTATCTGCGTTACATAATTTAACAAATAGGTCAAAACAACCGGTAAGAAAAATTTTGTACATGTATTGCATAATTAAAAGTTAAATTGCAAGGTGTTCCAGCAAAATGGTTCATGACAAATTTGTTCATATATATTGATAGCCTACAGAATAAATAAATAACATTCATTGCAACCTTTTGTTCTAGCAATTAAAACATTTCAATGCTGAATACAAAGCTGCATTGGCACTTTTTAGAAGATCAAATTTACCACATGTTACAACTCTCTTCAGCAACAAACCTAATGCAAGGAATTTTCATACCAGTCCATCAAGTTACAATGAAAATGCGAATAAAGATAAGGTAAGATTTTGTATATGTAATGTCATTTTTGTTTTATACTTAAAATGAAGTTATCTTAGATATTTAGCTAGACACAAAGTTTTCGCTTTTTGGCTTTGGTTTACTACATAAATAACCACAAAATATGACCACCATCATACAGCAGTGGTTGATCATTAGGCATTTGGTAGATGATTATTTGTAATAAATAAATAAATCTTTATTAGATATTTTTTGTATGAAGAACTGAAAATAGTTATTCATGCTCTGCTTTCAATGTCAGTGGGTCATACCATACTATAATAGAATTTTATTGTAGGTGCATGATTATAAATGGATTCAAAATGTTATCATATTAGTACCAGACAATTTTTTCATCATATCTCTCATATAATGCTAATACATGATATATTGTTATGTCATAATTCAGTACATTAACGTGTTAGTTTTTTTAATTAGCTTGAAAATTGTATTTTGTAATTTTTTTTTGGGTAAATAATACTTATTTATCTAATATTTACAAGATTAAGTCTATCTAAAATTACATATTATCTAATAAACCTAATCTGTGCGGCATGGTTTCAAGAATGCTACCTGGATTTCCTCTATGAATAGTTATTTTTAACCTTTGAGCAAAAAAACAACCAGCTCTCTTGTCACCAGCCGTGGTGTAAAGCCTAGGATATATACTTTTAAAAAAATTTGATGTGCAGGGACCCCACGGACCCAAAGTTTCACCAGCAAATGCCACAAATACATATTCTGAACATAATATTGTATTAATATATGTTGTTCTTTCAGGATAATAAAGATAAAAAGAAAAATGATGACTCAACAATACCTTCACTGCTGATGAAAGCAGCCTTTTGGATGTTCACAACAACTATCCTTATTATTATGAGCACCTTGCTGGTACCCGGGGACAACACACAAAATGAGGTACAAATAAAATTATACTTTTAATTCTCGCTCAGTTCTTTCTTAGCATTTACCATCGAGTTTTACCTATTTTCCATATCCTTAATGTTTCAGCTGATTCGCTATGTGTCCTGGAATGAATTTGTCTACAACATGTTGGCAAAAGGTGAGGTGGAGCAACTCATAGTGAGGCCAGATATAGAGGTGGTCACCATCATTCTCTATGAAGGTGCCATTATTAAGGGAAAAAGAGTAAGTAACATTTTTAACCTCTCCTTACTATAGGGAACAACATATATAACTACATACACAACAGGGAAGATAAAAAGTGTAATCGCCCCAATGACACTGTTGGAATTAATATGTAAGGAGTAAGTAAGTATGTAAAGAGTTGGGCAGTGATTCTCAATAATCATTGCAACATAGATCTATCGTAGTTATAAATTGACTACTTGTTGATTTAACATTATTTTTTGCAATTCTTAACGGGATTCACATTATAAAATTATAATAAAAAATAACCTTTTAGTACTTCATTATGTTTATGTAAACTGAATTGATTTTAACTATTGAAATAAAAGTTAATTAAATTATTATTTCTAATAAAAATTAATATAAGAAATATATGATTAAAATAATAAAATAACAATAATTAATCCTAATCTGTTTTCAGGCAACTCATCGGGTTCATCATATGAATGTGGGAGACATCCATCGCTTCGAGGAAAAGCTCCGTGAGACTGAAAAGAGCTTAGGAGTTAAAGAAGGTGAATATATGAAACATATTTAAAAGTCATAATTCCACAGAGCTGTGCACCAGGATATTTAATGTTATGACACAGTTAATTCTTTAAATTTGCATCGTATTATATTATGCAGAATGAAAAAATGACTTTTTGCGAAAGTTATAAGGCTAAATTAAGCTAGCGATGTTGCCTGCCTCAGTCTGAATAAAAGCTGCTTTATAAAAATCCAGCCGCCTTCTAATCCTACCTTAAAGTATTAATCTGACTAAATTTAGTTTCATTATTGGAAAGAATAAATAATAGTGAATAAATGAACTTATGATATTTTTTTATATCTTGTTTATATTAAATATCTAAAAATACAGTTTAGAAAGTACATAATAAAAATAAAGCTATAAAGTTTTATCTTTTTTTATGGTACAAAGATAATAAGTCAAATATTCATTATCTTCTGTTTCATCTGCATCAATAATAAGACATGAAAATTCCCTCCCTAGATCTACCATATCACGATTACAAGAGTTTTTATTGTTATGAAAAGTGATTGAATCATTTATTTCGATTTTAATTGCCTCTGAAGGTGTGGAGTCACCCATTGCTGCCAAGCGAACTTTTTTAACACTTAAAATTTTTTATTATCCAAAGCCTTTATTTTTATTATCTCTATGATTTCTATAGTAAACTTTTTTATTACAAATTAACTAACATTTATAAGTTTGTCAGTAGACGCAAAGTTAGTAAATGAATATAAATAAAATTAAGGCCTTTTGTTGCGCAAATGCTGACTAAATGTGATAATAATATTAAAATAATTTTGAGTTCTAAGTTACGGATAGCATGGCAGTACACATTGATTACTTATGCAATGAAATATTTCTAAATATATGTTATGAATAATCATTTATTGCAGTTGTGTTATCTATAATGCAGTTGTGTATACTAGTCATATCCCTTTTCACTTTAGTTTAAAAATATTTTAACCATTTAGTTGGTATTCTTTTAGAAACCTTAGACTGAGACATGTTTTCAGATGTAAGAAATGGCTGGCTTAACTGTTTTGCCTCTCTAGCAACAGTTCTTTTGAAATCCTACCATCTTTTGGTCATAATGTAATTTTCTTTTCATTCCATGTTCTATATCAAAATTTTTGTTATAAAGATATTCCTGGCGCTGTTGAGTACTTTCGCTTTGTTTAAAATGAATATAAAAGGGAAGTGTAAGAACAGCCAATGATCGAAAAGAGGTTTGCGCGAAGTGTGTGGTAGGGCGTTGCAAATGGCTCCAATACATTTGTTTGGCACTCATAATACTTCTTTGCTTATGTAATACTGTTCCAAAGTGTATGTAATCTAATACTTGTTTAGATCGGACAATAAAATCACTGCATTGCATATGTGCAGAGAGATGAATGCTTATAATCTACAAAATAAACCAATCTAACTTGCTCTTTAATGATTCTTATACAATTTTGGCATAATGAAATTGTCACACTTTTTACTCATCGGCAAACGGTGACATTTTATATGTTGGGTTGGGCTTAACAAAGTTCTTAATATTTTTCTGGGCTATTTCAGGAGTGCGTGTCATTTACGACAGGAACGGTGGACTCGCAGGCAAGATCATCACCACACTGCTTATCGGGGCCGTGCTGGTGTCTCTTCTGTACTCGAGCAAAAACATGCGGATGAACATAAACCTTGGAGGCTTTGTGAGTAGAACTAATAGACCGGATCCAATCAATCAGCTTATTGCCACTCACCCAGGCTTGGATTCCCCACTACATATATATATATATATTCGGTTCACTTTACTGCTTATATTTTTATCCCGTTCACTATCCAGTTACTCTTTAAGTACAAATTCTCCCATTGGTTTTCGTAAAAAATTGTTTGTGATACCTAAAGAGTACAAGTTACTTGCTATCTTGTGAGAATTTTTTTTTATTATGTGAAAAAGTGGCAAACGAGCTTGTTGCGTGGCCGTACCACAGTTATATTTACATAAACTTATGTCTATGCCTTTTCGTGTTGCCCTCTCAGAGCCAGTTGAGCCGCGCCAAGTTCACCCTGGTGGACTCTATGAGCGGCCAGGGCAGAGGCGTCAAGTTCGAAGACGTCGCCGGCTTGAGGGAGGCGAAGATCGAAGTCATGGAGTTCGTGGATTACCTGAAGAGGCCGGAGCACTACAAGAGCCTTGGCGCTAAGGTAATTGGCGGCGTATTAACTTCGCAATCAAGATTTGTTCGTCGTTCCACCGTCAACGACGACCCGATAGGCGCAGTGGGTGTGGGTTCGATCCCCACTACTGAAACTGGCTGGGTGTTTATACAGCGTGTCTTTACAACCGCGACAATAAATGAACACACATATAGGGGATAACTTTTTAAAATTGTATTAAACATTTACATTCTTTAAACATCAATATTTACAGAGTTATTCAATTTTCCAAAACGAAGAATTTTAGAACACCCTTACGTATAAAACTGTAACGTAAAGTTCATTTGTAAAGGTCACAAAGCATATGAATGGGTTGAATGAATTTAAAAGAGACAAAACATACTGTTAGAAGGAGAGGCTTGTAATGCGACGCCGTGGCAACGAATGAAAAAGTCTCTGAATGTATGAATCAGTCAGTTGTAATTGTATAGGATGTTACAAATTTTGTTTCTTTTTTACTAAATATAGTTTGTTTGAAAAATATTTTATTTTACTTATGATGGATTTTTTTAACGTTAATATTTTTTATGATTATTGGCAAGTAGCGTTAGACGTGTGTTCATTTATTGTTGCGATGGTAACTACACGCTGTAGATGGAGTTAAAGAAGTTTTACTACAGCCGTGTGGTCTAAAGAACACTTGTTATATTATTGCACATCTAGCCGAAGCAGCGTTTAATTTAGCAAAAACAATCATTTTATTGTAGCGAGATTTTGATGGTCATTGCACTTTGCCTTATGTAACCAGCCATCCGCCCGGCTTCGCACGGGTGCGATGTATTTATTATACATGCAAACCTTACTCTTGAATCATTCTATCTAGTAAAAATCCCGCATCAAGATCCCGTTGCATAGTTTTAAAGATCTAAGCATACATAGGGACAGAGAATGGGGCGGCTTTGTTTCATACTATGCAGTGATGACTACAACACGGGAGGTAAAATTAACTTGACCAGTGGGGGTGGTTACGAATCGTTTGCTGGTGGTAGGTCCCGAAGGGCGCTTTGCTGCTTGGGCCCCCCGGATGCGGGAAGACCCTGCTGGCGAAGGCTGTGGCCACTGAGGCCAACGTGCCCTTCTTGTCCATGAACGGTTCGGAGTTCATTGAGATGATTGGCGGTTTGGGCGCCGCCAGAGTGAGGTGAACTTAAAAGACCATATTCCTCCTTATACTTAATTCCTTACTTGTATTATGAACGCGAAAGTTTGTATGTATGGATGCTTGTTACTAATTCACGCTAACTACTGAATCGATTCTAATGTCTTCTTCTTCACAACGATGTAGCTTACACATCAGAATAGGTAATTCTGATGAATTTTGGTATAAAGATAGACAGGACCTTGGAGAAGAAAATAAGTTCGAAGTACTAAGTTCTACGAAGACGAAGTCGTGGACACCAATTAGTGCTTTATATTTAGTTCCCACAACTTTCAGCATATCCAATTGGCTATTACATGTTTTTTTTTGACAAATAATGAAAAAAAAAAAACAAAAAAAATGTAATTGTCGCGCTGTGTTCCTTTCGCCGGTTCTTCTCTGGACAGTGGCTTCTCTTTTCCGAACCGGTGATAGCGTTTTGACAACCAATTAATAAGTAATGCAGTAGCCGTGTGTCCACCGGACCCGGCTACACATTTAAAGTCGTCTTTAAGAAAAAGAGTCTGTGAATCTCCCGAGTCTTTTTGTTTTTTTTTTTTTTAATTCCAAACCGGCCAGCACTTGACCATCCCACCTAGTGTGAACGGAGAGCCGCGAACTTTCGCGTCCCCCTTGCTACCATTGCGGTTGGCGAGCGTTCGAGGTCGTCTCCATTGTGCTGGTGTCCAAGTCCAGCTGCAGTTGTTGCTGAGCTTCCCCCCTCGTGCCCAGGGACCTGTTCAAGGAGGCCGCCTCTAGGGCGCCGTGCATCGTGTACATAGACGAGATGGACGCCGTGGGCCGCGCCAGGTCCACTGGCGGAACATGGGGACCGGGCGGCGGGGAGAGCGAGCAGACGCTCAACCAGCTCCTGGTCGAGATGGACGGCATGAAGAGCCGCGAGGGCGTCGTGGTGCTCGCCTCCACCAACCGGGCGGACGTGCTCGATAAGGTCCCAACTCCTGCACAACTTTCCTCTCCCACTAGCACCACCCCTGATGATGTTCAATCGTCCCCTAACTCCCGCACTCATTCCTCTCCCACTAGCACCATTCCTGATGATGTTCAATTGTCCCCCTAACTCCCGCACTCATTCCTCTAACACTAGCACCATCGTCCCCTCTCCTGATGCACCATGTTCAATTCCTGTCCCCTAACTCCCGCACTCATTCCTCTCCCACTAGCACCATTCCTGATGATGTTCAATCGTCCCCTAACTCCCGCACTCATTCCTCTCCCACTAGCACCATTCCTGATGCGTCCCCCTAACTCCCGCACTCATTCCTCTCCCACTAGCACCATTCCTGATGATGTTCAATCGTCACCATTCCTCTCCCACTAGCACCATTCTGATGATGTTCAATCGTCCCCTAACCCCGCACTCATTCCTCTCCCACTCATTCCTCTCCCACTAGCACCATTCCTGATGATGTTCAATCGTCCCCTAACTCCCGCACTCATTCCTCTCCCACTAGCACCATTCCTGATGATGTTCAATCGTCCCCTAACTCCCGCACTCATTCCTCTCCCACTAGCACCATTCCTGATGATGTTCAACCATTCCTGATGATGTTCAATCGTCCCCTAACTCCCGCACTCATTCCTCTCCCACTAGCACCGATGTTGCACCATTCCTGATGATGTTCAATCGTCCCCTAACTCCCGCACTCATTCCTCTCCCACTAGCACCATTCCTGATGATGTTCAATCGTCCCCTAACTCCCGCACTCATTCCTCTCCCACTAGCACCATTCCTGATGATGTTCAATCGTCCCCTAACTCCCGCACTCATTCCTCTCCCACTAGCACCATTCCTGATGATGTTCAATCGTCCCCTAACTCCCGCACTCATTCCTCTCCCACTAGCACCATTCCTGATGATGTTCAATCGTCCCCTAACTCCCGCACTCATTCCTCTCCCACTAGCACCATTCCTGATGATGTTCAATTGTCCCCCTAACTCCCGCACTCATTCCTCTCCCACTAGCACCATTCCTGATGATGTCCCTCTAACCCCTGGCACTCATTTCTCTCCCACTAGCACCACCCCTGATGCGGTGCACTGGTACCCCTAACTCGTGCACTCATTCCTGTCCTACTAGCAGCACTACTACTCGTTCTCGATAAAGTTCAACTTTCCTAACTCCCGCACTCTACCCTTGTAGATTTCGACTCCCACTAGCAGCAACCTCCTACCGACAGACACTAACCCCTCCCGCTAAAAACACCTGCCTTTCATCATTATAATGTTTAGTTTATCCAGCGTTCTTTTACACAACTTCTATATATTGATGCTGATATTATATTTCGACGCGAAAAATCATGGTTAATATAGATTTGACAGATTTTCTTTGATAGACAATTTCGTTGTGCGCACTGTCTCTTGTTTCGTTCACTCACGAACGTAACCAATTACTAAATAGATTTTTTTATTTTACTATGGGTTATAATACATTAGATGGTAGTAAATGTACTATATTATAATGGTAAAATACATTCAGTTTATAATAAATAGATAAAATTATCGCAAGCTTTCTCTCATGTTTTATCTACATACGTTTAGTTAAATTTGGCGTTCGGAGACTAGCATTAATGTAAATCATACTTAATAATAATTTACCACTGGTTGAAAATATTAACACTATAGCCGACACGAGTTTTGTTGCTTATTACCGCAGGCTCTGTTGCGTCCGGGGCGCTTCGATCGGCACATCCTGATAGACCTGCCCACTTTGCAAGAGAGGGAGGAGATATTCAAGAGACACTGCAAGAGCATCGTGCTGGAGGAGTTGCCGCCTTACTACATGAAACGGTACGGATCAACGGGCCGCCCCAATCTAACTAATAATAAATAAATATGATATAAATTAATAATAACTAATAAAGAACTAATTATGATACAATGAAACCGGTACAGAATCATAGTTTCCAGGGCACAGCCCTGACTTGTAGAATGACGGGGCTGTTCAAGTAAAGTTTTCTATACCAAAAAAAAAAAACTCCAAAACAACAGAACGATCATGGGTGTTTGAAACTTCCTAAATTAGCACGCTTATATGTGGGGGCCGAGTGACGCGCCTTGCGGTACCCCCGTACCGACCTATTTGCCCGTTCCAGGATGGCGTACCTGACTCCAGGTTTCAGCGGTGCGGACATAGCCAACGTGTGCAACGAGGCGGCCCTCCACGCGGCCCGCCACAAGCAGAACATAGTGCGCGCTGCCGACCTTGAGTACGCCATCGAGAAGGTTGTCGGTGCGTTATTTTTCTTTTTTTTTATGTGACAAGATGGTAAGCGGGCTGGCGGTTCACCTGATGTTAAGTGCTAACCGACGCCCATGGTCATGTACAACCTTTTCCTAATGTGGGTACCCGGCTACCTCACTCACGAGACGAAACGCAGAAGTATGACACTTCCACCTCACTTCGTTGTACTGTGAGGTCGCGGAAGCACCACATGCAACATCGAACGACTTGTTTATGGCTGTTTTTTTGATAGCATTTACATGTTAATGGCATAAAAAACCTACCAGCCTATGTGAGACGTTTTTTCCTCGAACATAAGAAGTAAACTTGTCTCAGTTTTTGTAAGTAAATCGTGTTTTTGGCGATCGGTGGACAAAACTAAACTCCAATGGCTATCCAAATTGAAATCATTCACACTTCAGCGTCCGGTCTCGTGGTTTAACTGGGTTCACTCTAAAAGCTTGACAATGGATATGCAACTTGCGTTGTCTATTGCATGAGCGTCTTTGGGCGGTGCCACTCACTTAAAAAAACCTTTGACCGCTGGCTCTTTTGGCGCCTTCTATCATAAACCAGCATTGTTATTTCTCGCTGCCCCATTCGACGGCGACGATTCCCTCTTGCCTCGGTACTGCGGCACTTAACCCAAACCGGTTTCAATCGAAGGTGGCACGGAGAAGCGTAGCCATGCCATGTCTCCGGCGGAGAAGAGGATTGTGGCGTACCACGAATCCGGCCACGCCCTCGTGGGCTGGATGCTGGAGCACACAGACGCCCTGCTGAAGGTGACCATCGTGCCGCGCACCAACCTCGCCCTGGGCTTCGCCCAGTACACCACCTCCGACCAGAAGCTGTACTCCAAAGAAGAGGTACGTCCTTTTTGTTGGCTGTACCACAGGCCCCATACTGCAAGGGCCAGTCTCTTTAAAGCTGCTATTGCTGTGGTGAATGTACCAAAACCTCCAAAGAGGTTGAAGGCCGCGCTAAATCTTTTTGGGCTGTGTCACGTGAAGCTCTTAATGTAATTCGTAATGCTATAGCTTTTAATTGGAGCCGTGATAGCTCGTTGTCCGAGCGCTCGCCTTTAGTTCAATATACTCGAGCAACCTGAGTTCGATCCCCGGTGCCGGCGCCAATGAAGTTTTTAACTTTAAGTGCTAACTTATCACGTGCTCCGCGATGAAGGAAAACATCGTGAGGAAACCTGCATATTTTTTCGAAATAATGACAAAAAAATATATTTCGAAGATATGTGAAGTCCGCCAATCCGCAATGTTTTACCTTCTCAGCTATACGACCGGATGTGCATGGCGCTTGGAGGCAGGGCGGCCGAAGCCATCACCTTCAACTCTGTCACCAGCGGCGCTCAGAACGACCTCGACAAGGTCACCAAAATCGCATACGCGCAGGTGAACCGAACCTCTCCTAATACACTTACTAATTACTCCTCTACACCCTCTTATATACTAGTTAAGTACATACTCCCCTTATATACTTAATAATTACTCCCATATACATACTCTTATGGAATGGAATATATATATATATATATATATATATATATATATATATATATATATATATATATATATATATATATATGGAATGGAATATATATATTCCATAAGATTACCGATTTCCATCCGATTCGATAATTGATTCATCACGATATCTCTGGAACCAAAGGCGTAGACACTTGAAATTTGTTTGGAATATTCCTTTTGAAAAGTTGCCACAGTCGCAGATGCGTCGCCACCTTTTAATAAAGTTGGGTCACTGCTACCTCACTCACCAGACGAAACGCTGAAGTTTAACACTTTGACGACCTGAATGGCGTGGTGGGTGGAGTGTACCTGCCTCCTGCGTCAGAGGGTGTGGGTTCGATCCACACTACTGGAAAAATATTGTGTGATGAACATATTGTGTTTCTAGTGTCTGGGTATATATAAGTATAATAGGTATTATAATATTATTTACAAAAGAAAAGTATGTTTCAGTATGTTTATCAGTTATCTAGTACCCATAGTACAAGCATTGCTTAGTTTGGGACTAGAAAAATTTGTGTGAAAAATTTGTCCTAATATGATATATTCTCTCATATTTCCACATCACGCCGGTTTTCCGTGAGGTCGTGGTACTTTCCCGAACGGAAAAGTCACCTGGCTGTATCTCATGAACCGTGATAGACATTTGAAATTTTCAGATGTTGTATATCTGTTGCCGCTATAACAACAAGTACTAAAAAACTGAATAAAAAAATATTCAGGTGGGACTCCAACGGGCATGACATTTTTTGGCATTTTTTATTGATTACGGAACCAACCGTTCACGCGCGAGTTTCATCTTTGCAATAGGAAGCAAGAGCATGTGTCTGTATGTCCGTCCGTCCATTTCTCCGGGCGGTGTTTTTTGTCTTGAATTTTCACTTGAATTTATTTGACCGCATGGTCCACAGGTGAGGGTCTACGGCATGTCGCCCGAGGTCGGTCTGCTCTCGTTCCCGGACAAGGAGCGCGGCAAGAGCCCCTTCAGCAACAAGCTGAAGAACCTAATAGACCTGGAGGCGCGGAAGCTGATCGCCAACGCGTACTACCGCACCGAGGAGGTGCTCAGGGCCAACGAACACAAGCTTAGAGACGTGAGTGGACGCTCAACGGATTTTACTCTGTGCAGTTTTTTTTTAGGGTTCCGTACCGAAAGGGCAGAACGGGACGTCATTACTGCAGTTTAACCTACGGACGTATTAATTTTTATGTGAAATTTTGACATTTCCTAAGAACGCGCAAGCGTCTATGTGAATAAATATATTTTTAATAAAAAAAAAAAAAAAAAAAAAACAAGAATTAGGCACGAACTTCATACGACGGTATACTCGCAAAGCTTCGCAATTCCGCCCGTTCACAAGACATAGTAGATTGTGATGCGTTTATAAATTCATTTAATACTTTAATATTAAACCGGCGTGGTTTCATTGTTCTGCGGCAGCTGGCCGAGGCGCTGCTGAAGAAGGAGACGCTCAACTTCGAGGAGGTGAGCGCGATCCTCGGACCGCCGCCGTTCCCCGGGAAGAAGTTCATAGACCCCGTCGAGTTCGAGAACAACCTGAGGAGCTTGGAGAGCGCTGCCACGCCCAACGAGAGTGAAGCGATAGGGGCGCCCTCGCGTAAACAGGAGAGCGAGCAGGGCGTGCAGCAGTTTGTGTAAAACCATTCGAACTCGTGTAAAACCATTCGAACTCGTGTAAAACCATTCGAATTTTCCTATTGACTGTCGTCATAAGCAATTTCTCTGGATTTCGAAAAATATTAGCCACGTTCTGCTAAGTAATCTTTTTTATGTCCCAAAACTTAAGTTGTCATGTGGAATTTAACCTAATTGCAATTTCTGAGTGCGTTCATATTTCATGTTGCTATTTAATTAAAACACAGTTGTTTAACGTTACTACAAGACCGTTTACCGATCTCGAGTCGATCCATCTTATGTTATGTCGGTGTTGTATAACGATATATGAAATTATAGATAATTTGTTAACTCTACAACTTTTATCGCTAACTATTATCCTAGATGGTTATCATATTGATTGTAACCTACCTGTTGTACAATAAACGTTGCGAAGGATTCTTTTACAGTTTTAGTTATGTTAATTGATGTCGCATATTGTGAATTTGCTTGTAATCCTGTTGATTTTGATGGAAGTTAATAATAAAACACAGTATTTTAAAAGAAATATCGCTTATCGCAAGCCGTTGTAAAGATTTGTTGTTTTTTATGTAAATCATTTATAAAACAAGTCAATTTCGTTATTAGCGTGTAGTAATAAAGGTGTTAAAGCTTGCTTTTCTTTGTTTTTGTAATTTCATAGTTACACTTTTCAATTGTGGTAAGTTTTGCTTCATCTGGTGATGATTTATAAGACTTATTATAAAGCTTCTAGACAATTCTTTCAATAATACAGCTACTGTGTTCTAGACACATATTTATAGAAATATACAATCAATTAAACGCAATATCGAAATACTAACTATGGATGCGTATTTCGAGACAGGTGATGACTCCGAACTGTGAGAAACTTGAATTATTGTTAATTGGATAGCATTTATAATGTGTAGTTAGCTAGAAGAAAATATTTCTCCAATTCAATTCTATAGTTATAACTATAGTATAATACATATATATCTCGTTTAAAAGCCAACAAATTTCCCGTAGAAGATACATTTTACATCTGGTACATATAGTTGCTGTGTGGTGGAAGGAAATAAAACGCCGCATCTTTTTGGGTCAAATTTAATAGGATTTAGACAAGGGATGAACGCCGAATCTGGTTTTTACATGTAAATATATGCTAAGAAGTTTACACATCTATCCCTACAACTAATACTAGAAAGTGTATAGCAGAGAAAACACTCCGTACGCTAAATCGGGTTACACACTGAATAAATAGCAGTCTTCAAATTCATCGTATCTCATAATGGGGCCTTATACCGAAAGGTTACAAATAGATAAGTTTAGTTTTAAATTCGAAAGTGTTGGTCAGGCGAGTTAAGAGTACAATCTGAATGAAAAAGGGTAAAAGTGAAATTTGGAAATTGTCAAAAATAAAAAAAAGATAAGCAGAGAAAGAAAGAAGGAACGTTGGAAGCTCTCATTATCGCATTAAAAATTTTAGAGACCCCTTCGCAATTTGTGGTGACGAAAAGGAAACGAACCAGAAAAAAAAAACAAAATGTAATAAAAAACATTTATTTTTAATGAACAACAACACCTTTCTATTATGCAATTTTAGTGAGATGTTAGATTCGTTTTTTAAACTTAATGTAAGTTTAAGTAATGACTACACGTTTCAGATACGTCTTACGGCCCTCAGTATGAACAATAATAAATACTGTGCTAAATATAATCGAGAGGTTGCATTGTATTTTCGCAAAATATACAAAAATTAACAATAAAGCTAGACCGTAACCGGTGAGAGTTCTCCATAACAAAATATACAAAAAGTATAAACATTTTAACTAATATCAGCTGAATCTTGTCATAAGCTGCCTCATACAAATAGGTACTTTTCTTTTTGTAAATGACTGAATCCAGTGTCATCCGAGGAATGTTGTCTAACCAGTAAAGAAAACATCACGGAATACAAAGCCCGTTTCAGCACCACGCTAAGGTTAGGTTACCATGTACATAAAAGCCTATTGATCGGTTTTACCATAAGAATAGATAATTTTTCATAACAGTACATTTGATGAACATTTGCCATATATGGGTTAAGTTAAAACATAAACCATAATGAAAATCTTGTTAAGGAATAGACAAACGTTTAACTTTTTAAAGTTCGATTAAATGACATATGTCAGTTGTCAAGTGTACAGTGAAAAGGTTTTGTGACTCTTTATAAAAACTGTGTTCCTAATAAAGAATCGCAGCATTTCGCAGAAAATCTGACGGCGGTGAAGGTTAGTAAAGTTTTTTTCATGTAAGCAACGATCGCGAAAGGTGGTACGAAGTATGGGGTGGTTTCCACAGACCTTTAAGTAATTTGGTTCACTATCTGTTTGTGATGTGTTACTACTATTATTCTCTGTATTTTGTTAGGCGCCTATAAGCAACGAAGGTTTAACAAATAGGTTTTGAAAACATTTAAGCTATCTTAGAACGTAACTCCGTCAGGTGGGCCTTTTTGCTGCGTATCGCCCGCCTTTACTAACATTCGGTGAATTGTATTCTTAGGTGATGTATCGAAGATAAGTGTTAACAAGCTTTCGATTTCTTCACAGTTTGATTAAATATCTTTAAAATTATTTGTGACTTCGCGGCGAAAATAAATATGTAAGAGCAATTGAAAATATGGCGAATGTCGATCATCTGTTAGGAAAATAGTCAATTGCAGATTATACAAATAAAATGGAAATGTGACAACTGAGCACGTCTTTATAAATGAGGATGGACTTTTTTTAGCAAGTTCGATAGTGAAGGTTCCTCAGGCTTGCTCGCGATGCTGCCCAATACTGGTCGAAATTGACCGCGAAATATATTACACGCTTTTGTTTAAGGACCCGCTATAACTTAAGAGGCATGGTGAATAGTGAAATACGGCCAAACTGACGCTGAAATGATTGGTCTTAACTAAATCAGTGTTTTAATTAAGAAGAAGTACTACTTAATTCGTAACTATTATTGAGCACACTGTTGTCATCGTGTAAACTAAATTAAATACGTAAGTAAATATACTCTTAGAATTATCGTGGAAATGTTAAAATCATAATAATATTCGTTTTTACAACGACTGAGATGTTTTTTTTTTTTTGTTGTTTTAAGCGTCATCCAAAATTTGATTCCGAAACTAGTTTGTTTTGTAAGTTATATAAAATGCGTATACTTTGTAAAGTTGAGAGTAGGAAAGTCAGTCGGTGGAATTCTTTTTTTTTGTAGATCGTTAGAAATATATTAATTATTACATGGACTAGTTCTAAATAGTGTTTTGTTGGTACATACTTTGAAAATATTGTGACATTGCTAACATCTTAGCCTAGATAAAATTGTGAACGATGAAACAGCTTTCTTGGTTAAGGACTACAATAGAGACAGGAACATAGACATAGACAATATGAGAGGAGTATCATTTAACAAAGATAAATAGTTTTCCCGCGCGTACACGATTTGTAGGTCGTAGATACAAGTTTTAACAAAGAAAATGAGTTGGAAATTAATGTTTCAGAGACTTCGACGTTGATTTAAATGGGTAAGTTTATACATGTTCAATTTAAAGTTATTACACACATGTTCCAAATAGCGGAAATCCATACTATCTCTAGTCTTTATCCAGCAAGTAGTTTCATAGTAGTTACTGTTTACGCGTGAGCACAGTGGATATTATTAAAATTTATAAATGTCTTATAACGGTAAAACATGAATACAATCCTCTAGAATACTAACATCGGTCCAGATAATATATACAACGAATAGACCAAGGATCGGTAGCACGCCATCTCGCCAATTTCAACTCTAAATCATCCGCGTTCCGTCAACTCACATCTTACCATAATATTCATCTTATTTATTGACATATACACCTAAGAGTTATCGAGTTTACATTAATTCGTATTTAAACACTGTGTTTATACATTTTTAAAAATGGGTTGCGCTTTTAACACGGCGCATTGTAACGTTCGATTGCATAATATCACCCATAAGTAATATTAACTTTAACTTATATCCAAGGACTAAATACTTTAATTCCATTTCAACATCCCTGTATGAAACATCACTGTCTCCCGATTTATTTTTCCAAACTCCGACATACCAACGTGTAGCATCGCTTAATTCCTTGTCGAAATCGGCAGATGGCGCACTAGATACAATGGTTGTTGGGGCTATAGTTTGAATCTGGTAATAATTTGAAACTTACGGCTGAGGGTATGGTGTAGTGTGAACTATTTAATAGTGCGTACCTTACGCTAACTTGGTGACCTAATTCTCATATAATACTGAATGTATCGTATTTCAAAACATAATTCGACAAATATTTTCACCAATAAGTACTTAGCCTATGACTATGGTCTTATCATGATTAAATTTCTATAATTTACTGATTATGAGACTCTAATCCTTAATAGTTTGCGCGTTATGCTAGACTAAAGCGCTGTCACTCCAAACGTTTCTTTAGCTTATTTCTTAAACATATACGTCCTAAAAATTACATCATCGAAAAACCCGGTGCAATTTGACAAACCTGTGAAATAGTAGACAAATCAACATACCTAGTAGAAAAAATCGTAGACAAGAAAAATCATCGAAACGATCATAGGTACCTAGAGATAAATTGTACGAAGGTTGTGTAATCGTGACAGTTGTCATATCATTCCTTATATTAATACATTATGCGTAAACAGCTTACGTCCTATAATACAGTTTGTCCAAACTTATTGATAATTAACTATAATTATGATTTTTATAGTTATTAGGCGGTCACAACGTCCATCTGCCGTTTGGATCGGCGTTACACGTTCACGTCCGACCGTATCACGAAATAGGCGATCGAGGCAATAGTACGTGCCTACACAATTCACCATCACTTTGCACTGTGTCATTAGATCCAATATACTTCGCGAAACGATCTCAAAAGAGTCTCCATTTCCATCGCGCGCATTTCACAAGACCCGTAAAAGTACCACACACCGCACGAATCGGCACAAACCAGTTGAAGTTCGTGGCACCGCACGATTCGGCCTTTACCACGGGACAAAGTCTCATTGGCAACCGGTCCACACCCCAATCCCTCGGCTCTAAACAATAGTTCACCCACTAATCGGCCGCAGCCTTTCAGTACCTGCACAACACTTCTAACCACGAGAGTCTCTTGCATTCGTCCAACACTCGCCTTTAATTTAGCGTCTGGGCGCACTTTATCTCACCAAGCATTTCAATAACTGAATTCACTTTTCACGATGACTTCGCCAACTAATACATTAAGTTAATTCGATTTAGAGAATCACACTTATTAGCTACGTTCCTATCCTAAATGTAGGTGTAATGCCTAAATAGTGGGAACAACGTGAGGGAGCGTTGCTCCTTTCACCTCTATAAGTCCACTTGGCAATCGTATATATATCCGGGTTTCGCTCAACAAAATACCGGAGTGGTGTGCGTGCATTGTCTACATTTGAGCAATCTATTTACTTTCTGACGTCTTCATCTTCTCATCGGGATGAAATACCTGCAAAGAGTAGATCTATCACTCAAACCAACATTGGTGTACCGTGAATAAACTGATTTTCTACAACATACACATGTATATATACTAAAGTAAACATTGACGCGTCTAATAAACTTACGAAAATCAAATGGGACGAACATAAAAATGTAACTTGATGATTACGACTAAGTGATTTTGCTAATACGGACTGTTAATTTATATAACTCCTTGGTTAAACTATTTAATTCAATCACTACTTTACGTCTTTAGCATCACGCCATCTCTACGGACACGTGCTTATGTGAACAAAGTATACGTTTAATCGATGCATGCGTTAAAACAGTGTACAGTTCCAAATATATTACGCACTGTTCAGTGGTCACGTTTGACGGTGAGTACGAACCGAGGTGCCTTATACCCTTACACGGTCGGCCGGCGAGGGGGTGAGGGGTGTTTTGCAAACGGGGCGAACTTAATAGAAAGTAAAAAGAAAAAAAGCCGTTCACAGCGATCTCAACCTGTCATCACCTCAACGGGCAAGGAGCTGCGCCGGGGCAGGTTGGGGAAGCTCCTCTCTTGGGTGGCGTAGGCGGCCTTAGCGAGCCACTGCTGGCAGCTGATCACGGGGCCTGTTTTCCTGCGGCCACCGTTGGCGCTGTGCCTCAGGGCGGTCAGCCCGCGGAGCTCCGAGGCGGCGACGGGCGCTGGGGCGGAGCCCCGCCGGCGCGCCCAGCACTCCTTGCCGGAGAGCGTGCGGCGCAGCAGTTGCGGTATGGCCGCCGTCACCTCGCGCACCTTCTTCTCCTTGTGCGCTGCCCGGGGGGGAATTGTTTCGTGTTACAGTAAGCGCGGGAGACGTATCAGATGCCGACGTCGGCTCTCTTCGAGCCAGCACGAAAGGCATTGTCTACGATAGTGTAGTTTTAAACCATCGACGGCTGTTCCGCCACTTACCATCAGTTAGCCAGTCGAGCGCCGGTCAGTTTCGTATGTAAATAATAACTAATACACAGGATACTCGACACTATCTGTGGTTATGAGCATTTCTTATTTCCGCCAGAGACTTATAGGTATTATGTGGTTTTAATAACTAATTTGGACAAATTAACGATACAATTTCATTCCTCTTTTAACCCTAAGACGCTATATTAGTTTCGTCTATGTAATTTCATCAAAGAGGCTCATAAGAAATAGTTAGTAGCCGTCTCAAATCGTAAACGCGACCTAGACCTGCCCTATCGAAATATGAGTCATAATAAATATAATAATATTCTATGATAAATAATAGTATTCTCACAGCGGCGACAGTCTTTTCGTACTTTTTCTACAAATTTTAATATGGGTCATAATAATTTAAACAAGCCTACGGATACACAGAACAATATGGACACTCACCGTAGGCGACAGCCTCGGTCGGCATGGACTTCCTGCGCCGCAGCAGCTGGTCGGTGGCGAGGGCGCCCAGGGTGGCCGCCGTCAGGTTGTCCCTGAGCTGGCTGCCGGCACCCTCCGCGCCGTTGCCGTCTGGCGCGTCCTCGTATCGCTCCGTCTCGCTCTTCCTGAACAGGCTGAAGCGGCCGTCGCGCATGCTCTCCAGGCGTTGCAGGAAGTCGGGCCTCGTGAGCCGCGACGGGTATATCGCGTCCTCGTCGCTCGTATATAGAGGCCGGGCCATGAGCGCGTGCTCGCGGCCCGTGGTCTCGAGCGGCGGGAACGTTTGCTGGCGCACCAGCTTCCAGCCGCCGCCCTCCTTCGCCACCGTGCTCAGCCGCGTCGCCTGAACGGGCGTCGTGATCGAAGCGATCGTCGAGTCGGACAGCAGTTTCTCGGTGCTCGGCGCCTTCTCCGCGCTCGGCTCGTAGCAGCGCGTGCTCAGGTGCGACTGCAGCGAGTACTCGCTGTCGGCGGGACTCTCGTGGCGATACTCGCCGCTGGGCGAGGCGCGGCTCCTGTCGCGCCCCTTGAACTTGGCGTCTTGGAACACGTTTAGGGGCACCGAGAAGCGCCTGAGCTGCTCCTTGAAGCCGGGCTTGACGGGGTTCAGGGAGCTCCTGCGCACCGGCAGCAACAGCTCGGAGCTGTCGGACATGTTCGTGAACGAGCACGTCTCCGCGTCGTCTTCCGCAACATCCGCGTCGGATATTTCTGTGCGCGTCTCGTCCGCCATCTCTTTAGCATGAAGCGCCTCCCATTTTTTCTGATTGTAGACGAGGTTGTCCAACATTTGCGTGGAGAGATCGTTCTGCAGGAATCTGTGCCACTCTGTTATCAGAGGCGTGACTACAAACTTGAAAAACCCTGCAAACCGAGACAGAGAATGTTTATTGCATTTAATGCGCGCCGTAAATGATTTAATGGGGCGCTAAAAGAAACACGCTGAAAAAAATATTTGCATAGGGTCGTTAAAATAATGAGAACACGGCGGTAAAAGTGTTCGCCCCCGTGAAATAGCTTGATTCATAATTACCGTTCGCGTTTTTGCCGTGCAAATGTGGATATTTCTTTTCATCGCATTTTTAAATAATCTTTTCTGTGTTAGATCGCAGGTTTTTCATTTGATGTAAGCTGTAAAACTATTACAGCTTACATCAAATAAGAAACCTACGATAAAACGTACATTTTAAATATGGGGTAACTTATGAAAACAAAGGTTCGTATTACTTCAGTTCATTCAACTTTAACATGGCATATGCGTATGTGCAAATACTTGATTTAAAAAAAAAGGTTTAACGATTAATAAATTCTCTTGGATCCTGTTATTACAAAAATATTCAATATCAATTCATAGTAGATTGTGTTTAGGTTTCGCGTTAACTAGCGTAATCAGATTAAGATAGCGCAATTTATCGAATTCGATTTACAGAATATACGCCTCCTGTAACCAGATACGACAAGCTAGTGTCTTATCGTTTTGATTGCTGATTACGTAGACAGTAATCCGGGACCAACGTCGAGCCGGTATAATTTGTGTGCAGTTTTTTATTCCTGACAAACGATTAGGCGGACACAAATACCTGTTTGTATTTTCGGTATGGAGTTATTGTGTCTATCGCACAACGCCGTCACGGGGAGATTCAGCTTGCGCTCAAAGTCGCCCTGCCTGAAGAACTCCTCGCAGACCTTGAGGCTCCACTTGCGGCTGATCTCCCACGGCCGGCAAGGGTTGGAGATGTCGGCGCACTTGAGCGCTATCTGGAGCACCAGGTGGCGGTGCTCCTTCTTCCTCAAGTCCAGCGTGTTGGTGTCAAGGTGGCCCTGAAATGACGCACAACGTCATACTCTATCTTGTGTGTGGGTGTGTGGTGTTCACCCTATGTTAAGTGATAGCCGCCGCCCATTTACATTTGAAACACCCGTAGGGTTGCAGATTTTGCCATCTTTTAATAAAATGGGCCTCGGCTACCTCACTGACCAGACGAAACGCAGAAGTGTAACACTACCACTTCACGCCGGTGTTCTGTGAGGTCGCGGTACTTGCCCGGACGGACCTGCCCATTCGTGCACAGCGGGGACTCACTTTTGCGTGGTCCTACCACAGTGACATTGTTCATTCCAATCACATATTCCGACCTCTATGTACATACATACGCAAAAATGTCATACTGTATAACGACGAGGTCGTCTCGTTTATAAATTGGATAATATTTCACCATTAACATAGATACAATGGCGATGATTAATTGGCGAAACTTTTCGCTCGTGAATGATAACGTTCCATGGCGCGGGGCGTCGCGAGATAATCTATGACCCCATTCTTCCGCCGTAATGTCGTAAGGGGGACTGAAGGAATACACGGTAAATCCCTAGAGACAGATGGCGCCACTTATCAATAAAACTCGTAGCTTAAACGCGCGCTAACTTTGGAGAGCCGAAAAGCTTAGGAAGTTTCAGATTTCGCGACGGCTTCCAAGTTTCGAACGCAGTTATAACGTTGAAAGATATTTCATGTGGTCTGCGTATGATTCAATGTCAATAGCAGGTTATGAAACAAAAGTACAGTAGTAAAATTGTTCGGTATAAAGCAAAGATGGATGGCTGACAATTCTTTTTTTACTAAGAAACAGTTCCTTGTTTCGTGACTCTAATTGCATGTATTTTTTTTTATGGAGAAAAGGGGCAAACGAGCAGGAGGCTCACCTGATGGTAAGTGATTACCGCCGCCCATGAACACGTGCCCATGTAGCGTATGGTCTAATAAACTCGAGTCTGTGCCTGACTTTACGATGCATATTCCAGAAGCTTTTCTCTACAGAATGAGAGTGCGAACCATTTATTATAACAAGTCAAGCGAAAATAACGTAAGAATGAGACGCTTGCGAATTCTTGGCTACCAAATATGATTAAGCTACTTAAAATTCATAACTTATATACTGACTTATTTCAGCACAGTCACCTTTTCAAATGCTCTTGAAGATTTATTCTAAGCGCTGTAAGAAGAATAATCTCTATAAAGTCATTGCTGAACTGTATAACAAGAATTGATTTTCTAGTTAACTATCTATAACATGTATCTCATTACTAAATAATCGACGAAAAATTACAATTCTTGCATTCACTGGACACTAGTACATATTATTGTTACGAATTAAACAATATTAGTGTATTATAAAGATTTAAAATTTGTAATTTGTTTTACGTAGAAATCTTGATCAATCGTAAATTTGTATAGGAGCATGGCCCTCAACTCAACTTATTCAAAAATCTTATTTAACATTATAAATAACTTAAAATCCAGATTTTGTAATTATTTATTTTTATTATGTTTGGGTGTTTATTCTTATATTGTTAAACAAGCCATTTTTTTTATAATTAGCAACAAAAATGATATTTTCCTTCCAAAAACGTCATGTGTTGGTCAGTGTCTCTACATGTCAATATGCGTCTGACAAACAATGATATTATGTACAAACACCTGACAACAACCAAAAAGAGAATAGATAAATACGTTGAGATTTTTCGTCGGTGTCGGTGTGAATATATACCGTTTAGCTCAGTAGCCAGAGCATCGGGTGCGTAACCCGAAGGACGCACGTTAAAATCCTTGCATAGGCAAATATAAATACTTAGTGTTAATTTTCATTCGCTTTTAGTATACAAGAATGGCACTATAAAAAATAATATTATTTATAATTTATAAGAATGATGTTTTAATAAAGATAACGCATGTCGATACTGGGCGGTGTTTAAAAATTGTTCGCTTCACTATCATTAAAGTAAAGTAGTACATACTATAAAACAAAGTCGTCCCGCTGTCTGTCTGTACCTGTGTATGCTTAGATCTTCAAAACTGCGCAACGGATCTTGATGCGATTTTTTTTTACTTGATAAGAGTGATTCAAGATGAAGGTCTATATGTATAATACGTTGCACCCGTGCGAAGCCGAGGCGGGTAGCTCGTTACATTCATTACAAATGACTTACAAAAGTGAATGTGAGAGTTTATACAGAATGTATGATACCGAAAGAGATAGCAATATTTAGAATTGCAATTTAATAACACCAACTGGCGTTATTTGAGTGCTGCAGTTTCGGTACCCTAGTGTTCATGTGTGTATAATATCATTGATTTATAAGCATAAAAATATCTAATTAATCGACAGGTGTATATACGCAGAATATAAATACGGAATGTAATCGACTCTAGAGTTAAGACCCATTTACACGGTGCAAGTTTCTTGCCTGTTGTATACAATTAAATTGAAGCAATAAATGAGTTGCATGGTCTAAATGGTCTAACAAATTATTGCGCGCAATTTATTGCATTCAATTATTGCTCTTGTATGTACAAGAAAATGGCATCGTGTAAATGGGCCTTAAAGGTTGACACCGAATCGACAATCAATTTTTTTTCAACCGACTTTAAAAAAGGAGTAAGGTAAGAGTGATCCGATTTCGATGTTTCTTTTTTTTATTTGAAAGCTGGTGCTCCCTATGTGGTGCCATAATTATTTCATTGGTATTGGATGGATCTCGGGCTCCGGAGACACATGGGGAACTCCTGAAAATCAATTATAAAATGAGTACTGAGCGAGATATTTGAATGCGATTTAAGTTTTCGTTAGTAAAAAAAATGGAATTTATCAAGTATTAATTAACAAGAGCTACATCGAAATATGAAATCTATGATCATTTTAGAGCGGGAATAATCATACTCGTTTAATGTAGCTTAATTTTATTTACGACTAGCTGCTGCCCGCGACTACGTCTGCATAGAATAGGCTGAAGGCGTAACATTCAGACAGAAAGACAGATATACATAAAAATGTATATAAATTATAGCCTATGTTTTATTCTGATGTATAAGCTATATTATTGAAAAGTCTCATTAAAATCCATTCAGTAGTATTTGCGTGAAAGAGTAACAAACATCCACCCATACATAAAAACTGTCGCGTTTATAATATTAGTAAGGATTTACTATGATGAGCAGATAGATGCACAATAAACGTTTTGACCAAGTGCTACAAAGGGTCCCATAATTTCCGACCGCGGTGGCTGGCAACTAAAGTTATGACGCGCAAACGGCAAACGGCGCGGAATATTAGGCGATGGGTTTTAATTCCGCCGGCAGTGGTCGGCGTATTTACGACTAGTGCGTTAATCTCGCGAGATCCGACCGACTTCTTCTATATACACAACCCAGTTTCCCGGGCGCACGGACTACACGGCCGAAAATGTCCTATTAGGACGCTGACACACTGCAGCTGGGCGCGACTTTTTTATCGCAATCGATTGCTGGTAGTTATGTTCGAATTAATTATTTTAAAATTAATTCAAGCAATTCAACAGCAATATGTGAAAATGTCCCAATCGAAGAACTGAAATATTCGCTACAGGCCACATAACAGGATTATAAAAGCTTTTAATAAACTAACCAAGTCGCGTCAAATATATATTGATTCGTGTACTATTTTAAGAATTTAATTAATTTCCCATACATTTATTATTGTATTTAACATCAGACACTTACTGGTGAGTGTACAGCTTTAGATGGTTTCTGTGAGATGATGGATAATGGCGAAATATCCAAATCCCAACGTACTTAAAGCGTTATCAACGAGGATGCTTGAGATATTTTCTCGTATCTGAGATGACGGGGTTATCAATTGTTCTATCTAGTTAGTGTTAATCCTATTGTGAAGTGAGAAACCATTGGTTCAGTTAAAGACAGTCTGCAAATACAAATAGCAATTTACGAGACTTCCAATTCTATACGAAGCAGGAATATAGCTAACGGCCGGCTTTAGAATCGATAATGACCTCGATCTAAATGTTTATAGCATTATCATCAACTGTGTTATTAACTATGATATTTAACATCTTTGTTTAAGCTGCATATATTGCTATACAAATTACAGACGGCCGATACCGACGGCAAACGAGCAGACGGTTCACCTGATCTTAAGTGAATACCGCCGCCCATGGACATCTGCTACACCCGAGGGTTACAACTAGTTACAAAAAGTTGACAACCTTTTGAAAATTGGGCTCCGGCTACCTCACTCATCAGACGAAACGCGAAAGTATTTGTCAGACTTCCACTTTACACTGGTCTTCTGTGAGGTCGTGGTACTTACCCGGACGGGCCTGCCCATTCGTGCAACAGCCGAGGCTGCTGCGTAGCCCTACCACCGCAAATAAGATAAATTTGAAATAATAAAAATTACGCGCTCTATTGTCCCGTCCCAAATTTGAACGTGCTTGTCGAGTGCAATTTCCCGTAAACAACTACTAAACGGCCAAGTGCGAGTCTGACTCACGCTCGAAAGGTTCCGTACCATTATCTATAAAGATGGCAAAAAAATCATGTCTGTTGTTTGGGACTTAAATATTTTTTTTTATATTTTTATTACTTATTGTTATGGCGGCAACAGGCATTATCTGTCTAACTGCCATGGTTCATGAAACACAGCCTGGTGACAGACGAATGGACAGACAGACAGACAGACTTAGTAATAAAGTTCAGTTTTACCCTTTGGGTACGGAACTCTAATAAACCGTGATCTAGTATACAGCGATATAGAAAATCACGTCATATGCCAAAGGTGCTACTAGATTCCGCGTGGATGAATTACGGTTATTGGCCGTTGTCAAGATAGCGATGTGTTTCGCCGCTAAAGCCGCTATGACACGAGTACGCCTGTTTTACACATAAGTATTTTGTATCCTAAAATTTTTACCCACAATAAAAAAAAAAAAATGTGTTATTATTTTGACTGTACATTTGTCTAAGTTGTAAATGCTACGATCGCGATTAAATAAGCATTTATCGATGCGTGTGCATGCACGGTAAACAGGGTTGAATCGTGACAACGGCGGATATCAGGGGATCATCGAGGTAGAGGGGGGAGAGGGCCAAGTCTTGGTTAGCCGCGTGACGGAATGCACAACAGACAGATCAAGTGATCCTATGGAGATTAACAATTCCAGAACACGTCTTAACTGAGTTATATGAAATACTCCAACTGCGCTTGGTTTCAAGTTCTGTCTGTGGAACCAATGATACAGCGATATACAAAATAATTAAATGCTAACACCGATTCATTAAATAGTTGTTTTTAATAGGTCCTCGTTGTTCTTTACTCTGAGCACTTTGCTATACCACTGTAGATATTTTCATACATCATAAAACTTTGGTTAAATTACCAGTTTTTATAAAAATGCAAAACAAGAGTCGCTGCAACGCACTACCAACATTAGATTTTTGTTTTTATTTTTGTTTAACTGATGTTACGCTTTCAGTCCTTAGACTATTAAAGCTTCATCGAACGCAAAACCGGTGGCTAACCAGTATCTACGGGTTTGAGGCCCTCCTCAGTGGGTAGGGCCGCGTATGTATTCATGCGTGCGTTTAATTAATCTTTGTGTTGTAATTAGTACATTAGCAGGGCCGATTTATTAGATCACTTGATAAATTACAGTTATTGGTGCTAAAAGTTACCCTAAGGTATTTTTGACATATTTAAACAAGTACCAACAACACAACTGAACACTAGATAGGATATTTTTTTAATAATTTCGGTTTTATTTTTTTAGCACTATTTCTTATTCTAATCATATTTAATTTTGTAAGATCTTTTATCTGTTAATGAACATTCCATTTAATCGATCCAGCTTTGGATTAGATACTTTTGCACCGCGTACACTCAAGAATTCTGTACAAAAAAGTTCGCGCACTG